TAACCCTTTCTCTTTTGAATGAGGTAAGAAAATATATGCATTCACTGATCAGACTATGACTGGTTTGTAGGCAGAGAAATGCAGTTACTTGTTTGCTGTTCAGACACATTTCAGAGCATGTCTGTAAATTTTACTTCAGTCCCCACAGTCCAGTGTATCACAGACTTTTTGCCTACTATCTTCTGGGGTGTCCAGCCGCAGTGATTTGAGGTGAGGACACCAGTCGGTTCAGGGGCCTAATGACTGTTTGGAGCAATGGGTACTTGCCTGAAGGAGACCTGAATCCCTGCTCAGATTCCAGAGTGATGGATATGTCCTGAGAATTTCTGTGAAGCAACATCACCATCAGCCCAGCCTGACTATGGTTCTGATTTTTCATTATATTTTAAATTAAAAAAATTAAATCAAGGGGAGACAGGAGACTCTTCACCTCATAAATGGGTCTGTAAGGGATATCTCTATTTTAAAAAACTATTTTTGGAAGAAAGTATGTGCTATATGAGAGCTAACTTCAGTGACTGTCAGCTAGTCTCACCATATCCCCTAACATTTCTGTAGGGTATTGTAAATCAACAGAACATAAAACAAGGTGGTTGCCCAGTGAGAAAGCTCATTTCCCTTTGACCTTTGCCGGTATTTCAACTATAGACCTCTGAGAAGCTCTTCTGGTTTGAAGATAAGATTACACAGGTGAACACTATCTGAAAAGGAGAAAAAAAGGAGAGCATTGTCTTAGTTATTAAAACATAAAACTAGCTTAGTTTCATCCTATGCTCTCTACTGACTCACTTTGACCTTGAACAAGGCTTCTTTATGTTTTTCTGACTGTAAGGAGGGGGTAATAATATTTTCTGCTTCCTGGAAAATGATGTGAACATAGCACAACATATGCACTCATATGGAAGATACAGTGGGAACATGAAGTTCTTTTTCCATGTAGGAGAACCAGGAGGAGTTACAACCACAACGTCTGTAGTGTTACAAGCTTCCATTCAGGATGTGGTACCCCACCCAGGACACTACCTTTTTTACCCCCTATAATTGCATTTTTTACTTCCTCCTTAGAGGGGAGAAATTCAGCAGACAAGCACAAAACTAGAGATTATTGGCTAGGTAGCATCAGAGCAGAAGAGGGAGATTTTTCTGACTGGACCTTACAATATGATTTAAGATAGATAGCATTTTTGTCTCCTAACATCTAAATGTGAAGACAGTGAAGCACTGGAACAGATTGTCTACGATGATAATGAAATCTCCTGTTGGACACTTTTAAAGAACAAGTGAGACAAACATCTTTTGAAGATTTCCAGGTATCATTCATTAGATAGTCTCTCTTTATCCCCTTTCAGTTCTGATATTCTATGATCCCCACTACAGAGCTCAAGCTAGGTATATGTCAATAGTCTGATATTGCTGAGGAAGAGATGAGCTTTTTATCTGACAATAAAATGTAGACAGCAGTAGCAATTGTTCCACTTTCTGAAGTATCAGTCAAGTCCCAGCTGGAGTCCTTAGTCTCAGTGGGAAGCAGTAAGTAGGCACAGTTGAGGGAAAAGCACAGACAAGTAACAAGCATGATAAGAGGTATAGAAAAAGTGACTCAAAAATGGAAGGTGAAGGCAGTGGATTGAAAAGAGAAGACTGAGAATGGCACAACAGCTTGGAAGGGATTGATGCAGATGGGGCATGTCCATTTAGGAAAGGGCAAGAAAGAATCACTTTCACCTTCACTTAAAAGATTTAGGCAGAATATTAGGTTGTTTTTTCTATCTGAAAGTGTGGCAAAGTGTTAGGACATACTATCCAGGGATATTGATTTCTTAAAGTGAAGAAGATAAAAGTGTCAGGGATGGTGTCCAGATACTTTTAGCCTGTTTCAGTGTAGAATGTTGGACGAGATGATCTCCTGAGACTCCTCCTAGCCTGCCAGATCTGTGAATTTATCTTTGGCAAACATTTATTTTGGCATGTAGATCAAGTATGGGGAAATGGAGCCAAATTAATATATCTGGAAAAATCACTGACTTCGATAATGAGTGCGAGCCCTTTGTGATGAAAAGAAAACAACTATGTTACAACATGCCACTGTCAGGATGATTTATAAATATAATTACTTTTATGTTGTTTTTGCAACTTATACCCTTCCAGACTCCTGTTAAGTCCTGAATTTGCTTACAAGAGCCAGGCCATCATGTAACTTGCAGTGTTTGTGTCCTGCTCTTGTTTATGCTTTGATAAGTCTCTTGAATTTTGGAGGACACCTAATGTGAAGCTCTGTGTGGGTCAAAATATGCCGTGCTTTCATAAACAGAACATGAATCACACAAGAGTTGCTTTTGGTCTGCCAATATGGTAAAAAGTCTATTGGAAGCTCATTCCATTGACATAGTTAAATACATTTCTGGAAATTCTCATCCTGCAGATTTATTTCCAATTTGCTAAAATCAACTGGTAAGGACTAGGACTGCTGCCAGAACATGCTTTAACATCAAAAGTCTTCTTATTCTCCCTCAGCATCTGCTTAATTGAGGCTGTAGAAAAAGTGTCTGCTGCTTTCCCTCTGTTCAGTGGTGAAAAGAAACTGCCTTTGCAGTTGATAAGCTGGAAAAAGTTGAAATATTTCACTATTAGGTGGAAGATCATCCAGTGAATGTGAACCCAATAATGACACTGTTTCATGTGTTTCTACATAGAAATCCAAGGGCAATAGATACATGTTGTGCTCTTTCAAAAGCCAAAGAAATTGCCTCCTTTTCTAGTTAGCTGTATTACTGTTCAGTTTCTGAGAGGCAAACCCGTTGGTGACTTTTCATTTTACCATAATACCTGAAAGAATATTTTTTCTAGAGGAAAACTGATTTCATGCTGTATTACTGGACCTGTTGGCAGGTAGAAATAGTGAGCCTCACCTTCCCTTTCCTTAGCAGGGAATTTGTCAAGAAAACAGCCATTACTGCTATGCAGTTGCATTGATGTTAAAAGAGACATAATGACTCTGGGACTTATTATGGGTGCTGTCAGCTGTGAACTGAAATGACAAAAACATGAAAAACATATTAACAAACATTTTAGCCAGAATATCCACCATCTGTAAGATAAAGAAGGGAACTCAGAGCTAGAAATTCTCCCATTAATTGGCCTTAAAACTACAGATTTCAAAGTAGGCATCCAGCAGTCACTGTTTCTCTACATGTACTGGATTAGTTTTACACTCCTGAAGACACTGAAATGGTGCCTGCACTGACCTAAGAGCAACTCTCTGGGAGAGGGCAAATGGTTTTGCTTCCAGTCCTGTCAGGTTATTTTCTGTGCCCTGTGCTTTCCACCTTCAGCGTGAGGACTCCTGACCCAGCCAAGTCCTGCCAAACAGGGCTGCCCAGAGCAGAGACGGGATATGGCAGGAGGAGTGCCAAGACAGGGTGATGGCAGCAGCGGTGGTGTGTCACCCAGGGAAGCCTTGAGGGGTGGGGACATGGGTATAAACACTTTTACCCTTGCCATGCCCCACCACGTCACTGGGCAGGGCCGTCCTGAGTCCTCCTGACCCATCAAGGTGGAGTAGCTGCCTCAGGCTTGCGCAGCTCCAGCCCAGCAAGCCCTGAGCCACGTCCTGCTGCCTCCTGCTCTCTCTGGGAACACACCAGGGATTTCCCACCCCAGTCGAAGAGCTGCAGCTGGTGGGGTGGAGGGGAGGAGGAAACCGGTGCTCTGGTTCAGTGGGAGAGAAACATCGGGGAAATTTTGCCCTTTGGGAACAAAAACTTAGGCTCCCAGCCCCATCCTGGGTTTGCCCTGCATGAAGAGCCATGATATGGGGGGTATTTGCAGAGCCATGGTATGGGGATATTGCTCGATGTGTGAGAACCTGGAATCAAAATACTAGATTTGCCTATCAGTCAGACTTAAATGTATACAGGATTAAGGCTTTGATTCAGGAAAACATTTCAACAAGAAGTCATGTTTTTCGCAGAAAAACACTTCAAGGGCTATGCTGAATCTGTAATAAACCCTCTTCTTTGATACTGTAAAATATATGTCAAGAAAGGCAGATTTCTAAATGTCTTTAACCACACTAGCTTATGCAATTAGAACACTGGAATAAGAAAAAAATGCTATTAGAAGGGAAAATAAAAGTATATGGCATTTATCAGAAACATTTTAAATACATTTAAATATGGAAAGCTTTGTCATAATCCTTGATCAGTCACTACAAATCTGAAATTCCCATCAAATGCTGATGGATGCTTTGTCTTAGTGAAGACTGCAAAACTCTGCCCTCCTAATGGCATTGTCTGATCTACAATCACAGCACCTTTACTCTGGACACTTCTAACACAGGTTTACCTGAGGTTGGTTTCTTCCCTTTTCACTTTTTTCTTAAGCTTCTTCTGTAGCTTTGAAACTTTGAGTCTTTCTACTTTTATACTCAAATCTTATTAGACACAACTATATATAACTGAAGGATGAGCTTATCATTTCCTTTGACAGAGGAAGGTATAAAACAAACCAACTGGCTGGCACATAAGGCCAGAAAAAATAAAATATACGTCTTTGAGTACTATTATGTGTTGGAACAGACTAACATGGGACACAGCAAATTCTCTTCTAGAAGTATTTAAATCAAGACAAGATCTTTTCTGAAAATAGGCTTTGACAAAAAAATGCATTACTGAAGAAAACTGAATGAAATTTACTTGCCTCTTTTATGAAGAGGGTCAGATAAAAGGATACTAATGGCCTTTTTCAGCTTTAGAATTGCTTAGTGCTTTACTGAATGACCAAGAGAGTGAATTTTAAGTACTCAGTTATTTTAAATGGAAACTCACTTGCATAATGTCGCACAGTATTTTCTCCTATTGTACCTGATGAAATTGTTCCTTCCCAAAGATAAATAAGGAAGTATGTCAGTTTTCCACAGACTCTTCAAAATGAGTAACACACCACTCAAAGTGATCTTTTTTACTGTTTATTTCTGTCACAGGAATAATGAGGACCTCTTAAGGAATTTTTAGAAAAATCATGTTTTTGTAAAGCATGCATTATTTTCTGACAGCATGATTTAAGGAGGTATAGTAATTACTTTGTATGTATGTATGTCACTGACATTTTAAAAGTTTACCTGTTGCTATAGCAGAAGAGATAAGTAGCATAGTAATAATCTCATATTTCATTGAAGAAGTAAACATTTAAAAGCCTATGGAGGATGGATGACATAGTTACAGATATAGCTGTAACACAGTTCAGAGGGTCATTTCATATTTCTAACTACACCTTTAAAACAACCTGAGTAGGTATTTAATATTAGGACTGGTGTTTTGGGGGGCGAACAAAATCTGAGAAATGTATTGAAGTGTTAAGGCACTCAAAATGCAAAGTGCCAGGAGGGCCCTGATAGCTACTCAAGTTGTTGAGGGCTGAACATGCTGCATCTTTTTACTCCTCACCATCAGTGTCCCTGAGGCTTTGTTCTGACCAGAATTATAAAAATACCTTTCCCCTTACCCGCTCTTCCCAGTAGGGATAACTGCTGCACAGGGGTCTCGGCTACATTTGAGAAGTTCCCTAAATAATTTACAAAGTAGGAAGAAAAAAGGAGATGATACCATGTGGACCAGCTATTGCAGTGTTTAAATGTATCACAGGCAACCGTGACCCCCAGCCCTTCCTCACAAGGGCCCGGGACGTCTCCCTCCAGGCTGAGGGCCTCTCTGCAATGCCGTGGCCATGTTGCAGAAGGCAGGTACAGAAGGGACTGACTCCTGGCCCTTGGTTCAAGTGCTGTCTGTAGATCTGTTGCCAGGCCCTTGTATGTGCCAGCAATTAGATTAGTATCCACCTAGCAGGAAATTTTTGTTGTAGCACAACCCCTCACCAGAGTACTCAAGCTTATTAGACCAGGTAGTATAAAGGGAGTGGAGGCATTTGCAAGAAGGAGACTGGCTTGTCAAAAAGAGGGAGAATTCGCTTATCAAAATAAAGTTTCATTGAGCAAAGGAGTTGTAGGTCTGTTTGGATGTGACATGAGTTTAAAGACAGGAAATTCTGTCAGGTTGGCTTCTTACACAAAGTGATTTTGCAGGTAACTCCTCTGGCAACCTGGTTCTTAGTTACCCCTGCAGACTCTGGCAAGTTTTCTGCTCTTGATGTATTTAAAAAAAAAAAAAAAAATTAGCAATAGTTTGGATAATTTTTGTGATTTGTTCTTCAAAGTCCTTCTTTTTGGCCACCCATACTGCATTCTTACATTTAATCTGCCAGAGTTTATGATCCTTTCTATTTATTCCCTTTGGACAGGCCTTCAGCTTTTTTGAACCTCTTTCTAATGCCTTTCCTTGCTCTGTTGCCTAATAAAGCTGGCTACCTTTCGCCCTTTCTTCAAGTCTTTCTGAAAAGGAGGTATGTACTGGCACTATGCTACTGACAAGACATCCCTCAGCAACCTTCATCTGGCTTGTATTAACTTAATTCTCATAGCTGCCCCTTTTAATTCCTTTTAAAATGCTTCCTCATTTTTATACAGTTCCCCTTTCTGCTGCTGAGCACATCCATAATGGATATTTGGCCTCTGTAAATACTGTGCACTGCTCAGGTCCAACTCAAGGGCTGCATCTTCTCTTATGATCTTCCCCATGAAATGGAAGTATCTAAAAATTCAGCCCCTGTCTTACATCCCACTATGATCTTAGCCCAAGTTACATGGAGATAACTGAAGGCTCTATGGAATTTCTGGCCTTTGCAGCCTCTGTGAACTCCCTCAACGTGTCAGAGCAGCACGGTCACAGTGCCAGGGTGGGCAGCGGCCAGTCTTAAGATGCAGCCTTACCTGCAGAACCATATTAAAATAATAGAAAACCATCACATCTGATCTCCCTTGGGCTTGGGATTTCCTTCCATGTGGGTGCTCTGCTGCTCAGCGTGGTGGTTGGTTTGTTGTTGCAGTTCGAGCCAAGAAGCAGGGCTGCACTCTCAGCAGTCTGTGCTGCCTGTGCCAGGGGAGGGAACAGAGACAAGTGACATGTCATTGCCGACAGATATGTGGCAACGTACACATCTTCCAGGTTCAACACTCATGCGCGCTGAAAGTCCGGCCTGAGCAATAACTTCATGCAGCTGAGCTTCAAGGGGAAAAAGAGAACAGAAGTGGTCCTCTACATAAGCAGCATTTTCTATATTACTTGTTAAAAAGGGGAACTCAGGGTAAAGACTGGAGCAGAGGCTTTTATTCTGATAAAGGGATCTAGATAGCCTACATTTAGTAAATGGTATTGAGCAAATGCATCAGAAATTGTAGGCAAGATGACTAAGAAATCTGTTTGTCCTGGCACGCGTGAGGTCACCGTTTGTGCACTGCAAACAAGGAAACACTAGACAAATAGGAGCATGTCTTATAATCACAGTGAAACATTTTGGACTAGAAAAGCTTTCTTGAAGGACAGATTGGTTAAATGGCTGATATTTTTCAGAAAATCAGGCACAAACTCTTCTTACAGGCACAACTGCAATTCAGAGGGCAGCAGGAATAATACAGGTGTAGGAAAGTCAGTTCAACTTGTTATCAGCCAATGAAGGCAAAATGAAATAAATGACCTTTGCCATATTTTTACAGTTTCCCTGAAGCATGGGACCAGATTATGGAGTGATGGGAAGGGTGTAATTCCTACCAGAAAGAGTGACTGTGCATTTATATGTTTTACAAACACGTGGCCAACTAATGGCACACCCAAATCCACTTCTGCTTCTGCCTCCTTTACCTAATGATAGAAGGATGTCTTAAGATGCAGCCTAAGCTGCAGACCCATATTAAAATAATAGAAAACCATGATGGCTGATCCGTCTTCTCCCTATAATTTCAAACCCTGAAGGATCAATATCAAAAGCCCAAACCCAAGCTCTTCATGTGTACCCATCATGTGTGTGACAAGTTTGTCTGGAAATGTGCCAGGACATCTCTGATGTAGTGAAGGGACTTTACCCACAATTTCCAACTAATCTAGAAGAGCTTTTGTGTAGTGGTGACTTTGGGTGTATTTGTATAAACACAGGGAAGAGAGCAAAACATAACAGTGGAGACCAGTGCAGTGTTTACTTGAGAGGCTAGTTTTGAGGGCAGCTGATCAGGTGGTAGAATGGCACACAAAAAATGTAAATTAAAGTACAGGTACCACTTGCTTAAGTATCTGCCTCAGCAGCAAAATAGTCCCATTTTATAGTGTTTTCAAACCTGTGTGAGGGAACGTCAGCATCTTACCTCATTCCTGTGGAGCTGCCACTGCAGGAGGAGCTGTCAAGTGCCCTCTCTGAAGGGGTAGATCCACAGGGATTCTTTTGCTCAGTAAATCTGAAATCTGAATCTAAATTTCATAGTTGCAAATGGAATGAAAAACCATTCAAGTCAAGCTTAATATTTTCCTTGACCCCGGGGGTTTCCTATCACTTCTAAGCATTCTTCAAAACCTCATGAGTTTCCACGTGAAACTAGGAAGGATGCCCCGTGGCGCTGCTGCGATGTGACAAGATGGCCAGGCTCCAGCTTTTGGATTAACAAATTTAGCAAACAAAGAATAAGTCAAAAGACAAACAACCTGACCTGCAGCAAGTCAACATTTGTAGTGGCAACATCTGGCTGAGGTAACTGCTACTGTTTAACTGACTCCTATGCATTATCTTCTTCCTCACTTGAAGAAAGAAGCTGTGTAGATGACAAGACCCAGGCAGCTTCAGTGTGCAATAAGTGGCAAAGGGAGCAAGCACGGCCATCCAGAGTGCTTCCTCCTGGTGAGAGCTCTCCCAGTCCTACAAGACCAGTACAAAGTTTCATTTACCTTTCTGGTGATGTTCTCCTGACTTCGGTGGAGTCTTTCACCGGGCAGCAGTAAACATGCTTCTTCAGTAGTAGCTATATGGTTAACTAATTCCCTCCAAGGCTGGAATATGCAGGGCACCAGCTGAACCAGCATGGGAAGGCTCACGGCATGGGGAAGGGTTGAGTGGAAATGATAAGTTTATGGATGCTTGTTCAGGAAATATCAATAACTGGTGACAGCTTGATACTGACTTTGAAAACAGTGAGAAAGTGTTTAAAAACCTGGATGGGGTTTTACTCACATGGCTGGTCTTAGTCAAGGATTCCAAGAAGCGAAAGCACAGGGTCAAGTAGCATCTCGACCCCACTTTATCTCCTGGACAGTGACAAATGGCAGGCTGGAAGGAAAATCACTTCAGACACGTGCAGACTTTTCCACGGCTAATCTGAAATTCTACATTTACCTGGTTTTGAAGAATGTGGAATGAAGATGGTGTAGAGAATAATAATGTATGCTTCAGTGACTTTCCCATAACACAGCAATAACAAATAGGTAATAAAAGTGTCACGGACATTGACAAAATACAGACTATCCTGTTCCTTTGTTGTGTTTTTGTCCCTAAATATAACTCAATATTGTGGCCATGATCTTTACTTAATGGTGACCTTCAAGCTTAAAAACAAATTGGACTTGTGGCTATATATATACACATGCACGCACACACATAAAGGAACTCTCTGACAGAGAAAACCTAGCAGAAGTAAAAATCCATTTTTCCCACAGGCTTTCTTGTTCAGCAATAATAAGAATAAAAATATCAAACATTTTGGCTTTACTGAGACATTTCTGGGAAGTGTCAGAAATACCGTTTTCCTAGCTTCTTCCTGAAGGAGCTAGGGAATCACATCTTTACTCTTAAATGTTTCCCCAAATATTTGTGGTGTTTGTTCTCAGTTACTGCTTTTTTTTTTTTTTTTTCAATGTAAACCATTGTATATAGCCTGAATTAAGCAGCCCATTCTTTTTTCATATTGTCTAGCTAGTTAACCTGTGGCAAAGACAGAATTATTAGAATTCAGGAATTTTTGGATCCTCAAACTGCACCATCTCTCTCTGGTCCTTTTAATTCTGTTTCCTGCCCCTTGTTTTGTCCGTCCCAACCTCCTTCTCTGACATTAAATCATTTAAAGATACAAATCAATGAATAGTGTTATGGAGAAAAAAAAAAAAGTCTTTAGTGCTTTGACTATGAATCATACTAAAGAAGTTTTTATTTCAAAGGTTTGAAACATAACAAAAACTAAAGCAAAAAAAAATATTTTTAGGAGGGAAAAAACAACCAGGGTTTGCCAACGGGGTGGCTCTCCTTCTTCCCACAGGAAAAAAAGAAAACCTGCAATGAATTTTCCAAGATTTTTGTTTTTAATATGGTTTTATACCAGGAAAAAAACTAGTGTGATTAACTTCTAAAAAGAAAGATAAAAAGATTTGTTAAGGAGCCTTTTCTCTGAGGTAAACAGTGGTCATCAGTGTAGGTGCATTATGAAAGGTCCTGGAAAGATGCGCATGGGAAGGGTTGATAGGACTTTAGCCTCTGACTTCCTCAAGGCTGGGATTTAACCCTGGAAGAAAGGGAAGAGATGTGAAAACCTTCTGCTGTGTTGTGCTGCAAGTGGTTCTCAGCTCTGATCTGGCAGATCTTGCTTTGGGCAGAACAAGGCAAAGGTTGGAGCCAGTTCTGACAGTACTTATGGCAGAGATTTTAGAATCCTGATAGTGTTCCCTAAAAGCAGATGCTATTTTGAAGAGTGAAGCACTCTAAGCTGCACAAGTGAGCAAGTGAATAAATGACAGAAAAAGGAAACTCCATATAGGAGGCTCCATAAGGAGATTTTCCTCTGACAGGAATCAAGCCTGATGATAGCAGCATTTTCAGATATTGCTCTGAGATGTCAGTGAAACCCCTCAGACAACTGCTTGGCATCTCTGCTGGAACCTCATGGTGACCGGTAGGCCCAGCCCTTCTGCACTTTCTTTCCAGAGGCTTAATTAACTCCAGCTGGATTTGTTAGAATCCTGAGGATCTTCTCCAGAGGAGCAACCTCTTGAAGCACAAAAACTCTTAAAAACACCTGGAGTTTCTGACAGCTGTATCATTATCTCACCTTTTTTGCAAAGTCAGGAGTAAAAGAGGAACCTTTTGTGCTGTATGTGTTTCTTCCATACACCGTGCTTTTAAGTCACTTGTGCTCAAAAACTTCTGTTTACTTTCTTTGCTCTTATCCTGTCCATTGCAGTTACTGGGGTCTACCTCTGGCTTCAACAAGTGCACATATAGGTCTTATCTGAATGGCAAATCACGTTTATTTCTGTGAAGTAGCTTTTGTACTGCTGCTTCTTCCCTGAGTCCACAGATGACCCTACTGGTTTTCTTACAGCCTTGTGGAAGGATAGAGGCAGCATCCTTCTTTGTGTCTGAGCCTTCATACTCAAAGTCATCACTTCATTTGACTTTGCTCACACTGGTGTTAAAGTTCAACTTTTTATTCAGAGGTCTCTCAACAGTCACTTGCATTCAGAGACTCAAAATATTCTGAACAGCTAATACTGCAGAAGCAGGGAAAGAAAAGGAAATCTTAAAAAGATGAACAGGGAGAAAGGTATCTTGAAGTAAAACTTGCTGGGCTGAGGGCAGTAACCTTAGTTTTAGGAATGGAGAACTATACCCTGCAGCCCAGCAGAAAACCCCGTTTTTCTGTAGGTCTGAAAGGTGTCTGTCTTGTCCTTGCAGTTCAGCTCATGATCCAGTGATACCAAGAGTGGATGTTTTCTATAATTGTTGTGCCTGTGTTTTTTCATGGTGCCTAGCTTAACTTTGAAAACATAACCACAAGTGCTACTACAGGCTTAAGAGTTTTATTGCCTGCAGGGTCAGCCAAATGGGACTTTTCCATGTAAGGAAACCATCTTGAGAGGTTGTCTTTCTCAACTCCAGTCTTCATCCAAGGCCTAGAGTTAAAGAGTTATTTGAAGTCCTACCACAAGCACATGCAAGTATGAGGCAGCGTTATCTTCAAACAGCCCCTATCTTGATCATCAGCCAGATTTTCAGGCTGCTCCCTGGAAACACAGCAGGACTAACAGTAAACAGTAGCTGTTACTTCCTATCAGTTCTACAGTATATTTCAGAAGAGGTTGTAAGGCCATGGTTCAGAGAGGTTCATAAGTCAAGAGGAAGTTGTAAGTAAACACATAAAGATGCAGTCAGTCTGCTTGAAGTGCAAAGTTCACTCTAGCTGGGCTTTAGGGTCTTCTCTGTATAGACACAACAGAGGTTCAAGTTCAGATGAGTACTTGAGGAGGTTTCTAACAAGCTCTAAGGACTATGGACAAGTGGGATTATTCAGATCCAACAATCTGATTTAACTGTATTTCTAACTCTGGTAATAGATTTTTTTTTGTAAATACAAAACTTTGTGCCCACTGAACTCCAGCATAATTCTTTATTTTAGAACAATTTCCTGGACAAACAATGTAGGTGGAAGAAAAATTGATAAGAAACCTCAAACTAAATGCAAGATTGTACTCCTTTTTCCACCAAACCACATAATTTATATAACATCAGTTTTTAAAGGTTTGTTTCTGTATGACTGTTCATTCTCCAGACACAAAAATACTTCATGAAACAGCGTTTCAGTGTTTTTTCACACCCGATTCAAGCCATGAAGTGCTAGAAACCTTACAAGGCTGTTCTCTCAGAGCTCATTCCCACTCTGGAGCAGGCATGTAAATGTTTGTGTAATTCTGCAGAATGTATACTTTTGGGATCTGAGTTCCCTGACAGAGGAAGTGAGTAACTTGGTTTGAGTTCAGTGGCAGTTACTCATATCCTGTGAGGAGACAAGTGGGAAGGGGGAAAAAAACAGAAGAGAAGAATCCAAGAAAAGAGATGGGGGGGGGACGTGGGAGGAAGATGAAATGACAATCAGCAAACCCTCGGTGATAAGTGGTCCTCACTTATTCTGTCTTTGCTGGCACAACACAGAGAAATTTGTCATAATCGTGAGAACACAAGTGGTAGGACAGTAAGATGATCCCTGATCGTTTCCTTTGGTATCTTTTAACACTTTATCTTTCAGTAGCATGTAGAATAATATGAGAATGTTAAATACAACTTCAAGTTTGTGTTCATAGACTCAAGTGTTACATGCAAGAGAGGGTGTATCTGTATGCATATTTTTATGCACAGAGCTATAGGAGGGGATTGGGGTTTTTATGGATAGAACTGCAAAACATGCATAGGAGTTAACTCACTGCTTCATGCATTACTTCAGGTTTCAACCCTGACTTGCCTATTGCTTTATGGATCAAATTCAGTAATAACTGTGTGTAATACTTGACAACAAGAACCTTTACTACGTGCAGAAATGTGTCACTCAGGAGTCTAAACAACACTTGACCAGACACATTCAGGCTTGCCCATTCCAGATTCAGCTACAGAAATGCTGGATTATGGAAATGGCCAACAGTCTTAGGCCACTGGTGACAACAACACAGCAGCCTGCTTTGGGGGAGCAGGAACCACCTATGTTCCTATAGTGCTCTATTTACAGCTCTCTGTCCCTCCAACACAGGAGTTTCTACAGCAGAGTGATGAAGGGGTTCAATGCTGAGGGAAAGCTGGGTGCATTAAAGGCAGGCTTGGATCCAGTCTTCCCTGGCGTTTGGGGATGCTAGGGTCCGGCATTTTGGTTGAAGCTTGTGTCACTGCTGTTTTACTGCATGGGCCAATAAACTGAGCTGGCTAGAACAGCTCCAGCTGACACTAGCATTCCCTAAAGAAGTTTCTAGCTTGGATTCAATTGATTTAGTCCCTTGCTTGGATCATTAATTTCTCCAGTAAGTCCGGGGCAGACAGGGAACATGATGAGAAGGCTGATCCATTGCTTCCCAGCAGAGGCAGTTCAGAACATGCATAACTTGGAGCAAATGGTATTGCACTAACACATCAGGTTGTGCCCATACATAAGTGCTGAATCAGGGCCATAAAGAAGGCTAACTCTAATGCACTGTACTTAAAATGCTTCCCGAAAGGTTTTGGAAACCTCCAACATCAACTGAGATTGTATTCTCAATAGATGAGTTCAAATAGATCAAGGCAGGTTTATTTTTATATTGTGAAAAAGCCAGAGGTACTTTAGAAAGTTCAGCAAACTGCTATCCTGCCATTTAAGGAGACCAGCAATGCTACCTGGAAAACACCATGCCTAAAATCACAGGAGGGTGATTTTACACACACACAGCATCTATCCTGGCTGGGCGGAAGCTTCCAGAAACTTGGACCTTCACAAACAAAAATAAATATTTATAAGGGAGGGGAAAAAAAAATTAGGAAGGGTGTGGGGAGATAGATGAAGATCAAGATTATTTTCTTACTCATTTCTCTCTTTCTCCAAATCCCTCTGGCAAAGAATCCCCTTTCCCAGACCTTGACAATAGGCAGGATAAATCCCATGGCTAACATGTTTCTGATCTTCTCTAGAAGTTCCTGATTACAGATTCTCTCTCCTCAGACAGCAGCTCAGCTTTTTTCTAGAGAAAGCACTGGTTACATAGCAGCATGAAGGAGTTTTGAGCAGCAGAGCCAATTGCGAGGCTGATGGGTTTTGGGAGGACAGCTGTGCCAGGCCCTTGAGACCAGAGAGCCTTGAGGGAGCACAGGGAGGTGACAGGGGTGAGGGTGCCACTGGAGACTGGCAGACACAGACAGCACCTGTCAGACACCCACAGGCTGGTGGTAGAAATATATTGAAGCCAGGCAAAAAGGGGATGTAAAGAAAAGCTTTGCAGAGTAGATGTCAGAAAGCCCAGGTTGAGGGGCAGCATTCATGGGTCTCTCCGCTGAGAGATTAAGGTGGTGAATCCAGCTGCCTCAACTTAAATTTGATTTAAAGGTAGAAGGGATGATGGCTCAAGGAGACAAGATGCAGAAAGAGTAGGTTAACAAGCAATTGAGTGATGTCTGCAGTATTTTATTATGTTTGTCATCTATCAGCAAGTTCCTCTTCTGCCTCTTTATATATCCCATCTTCTGACACTCAGAATAATTTTTCTCTAATTACATACTGCAGTTTAGAATAATCATTTTCTTTTTCTGAGTGGTTGGAGACTATTTAGAAATATTTGAGCCTCTATTCCTCAGGACTCTGTAAATAGACTTAACCTACCAGGGTACAGCCCCAGGAGGCGCAGGACAAGCATGTAATTCACTGTCCATAAGTGAAGGGTACCAGATTTTCCTCCATATAGACACCCACCCCGATTTTTAGATTCTTAGGTGGCATACAATCAACCTTAGGCAGAGACAAGTTTTTAAAGGATGATATGGTCACCTTAGTACTCAATAACAAAACATTGCATATGATGTTCATCTTTTGTTTTCTATTAACTGTACTTTCTTTATTTATTTTAATTAGCTACCAAATCTAGCTAGCTGTCTCTAGTGGCTTCCTGGTTAACTCTGTTACATGAGTATTTAGGTCAAGCCAGCCTACCATTAAGAGAGACAAGAAGAATTGTATCAATCTGAATGTCTGTGCCTGTGGAGTGAATCTGAGAACTCCCTGAAGTCTTTCAAATGTGATTATTCATCTCCCTGCTCAGCACCTGAAGCTATTTTTAACATTGATATGCCAAAGCTATCTACAAGCCTATGTGATAAGTAAACATAGCAGACTTGGGAATGATGTAAGTCTGCAAAACCCCTGTCCCACTGCCTCTCCAAAAAGACATTAATGATCAATGTTGTAATTAGTGAGAAATGTCTGGTCAGCTTAACCATTAACACAGACTGAACTATTCAACCTTCTTAATAAAGGCAAACTTGTGGGCAGTTCTTGTGGGATGACATTTTCCTTGGGTGATATCATTCTACAATAATTTCTTGAAAATACTGTGATGAAACATGCAACGAGACAAGTATTCTGGCCTTTCCAGACACCTGTGAGTCAGCCTAGACTGCTGCTTCTTCCTCCAAATAGAGACAGTTACAGAGCAAGTTTTCTGAAAGCTGTAGCACCGACAGAGGCACTAATACAAAGAGTAATTAAAGCATGCTGTTGACATATTCTGGTTCTCTCAACCTTACAATCACCCAGGCTTTTTTTTTTTTTTTCCCAACCTATTCCTTTTTCATAAGGTTTATTTATTGTATATCTCAATCATTTGCAATATTAAGGCATGCAAGTTTTAAAAAACGGATTAAATTGTTTCACTGCGTCTGAAATATTATTCTGCTGTCTGTGAGCTGGTAACACTTCACTGACTGGCTGGGGAGAGGCAAGAAAATCAGCATCAGACAGGAAACTCTAAAAATACAGGTTTCATACTTCAGTCTAACATCCAAAGCACCCTGCAGCTTCGGTCATCCTTGTGCATCTCTCCCCGGTGACAAAGGAACATACCTGCCTCATTAAACTGCTGGATTACGGTAGGCCCTAGTCCTCCCACCCTGTCACACCGCGGGGACAGCAGGCGTGTGGTGGAGACTCAGACTCCCTCTGCATTGGGGAACTCAATTGATTTGTCGCTCGAATGACTTGCGCCATCCTTCACCATGACATACGCACTTGCTAACCTTCCTGGTGAAAAAGGCCAGTTTTGTCCAAAGCCGACGTCGTTTCATCTTGTGGCTGGCACGAAATAAAGTGGTAACATGGTTCATTGGGTAGATCTACTTAAAGCCACTGTAATGAAGGACACAAGGGAAATCCCTTCCTACTGCTGTGAGGCAAAATGGGTTTGAATGGACAAAGAGTAACACCAGCCCCTCCAGATGGGGTATCCGTGCCAGAAGAATGCTTGCACTCTTCCTTCTTTGTGGGTAACGAGAGCAGTTTGTTTTAAGACCTGTCTTTCTAGCAATTACTTCAAAAACTAAATCAACTTACAAATTACCAAAAGAAGGTAATACCAAAGTATAGCTTTTTCATCAGGTAAACAAGATACATCTGTTAAATACAGTCAAACTAATCTTGACTCAAGATCTGTATAGGGCTTGTGGTGTTCATTCCATTTTTGCCTGCCCAGTTCCTTAATATTTAATTAAATTTATTTTGACTTGCCAGAGAACCTTGAGATCAAGTTGACAAGACAGTCTCTTGTACAAAAACTTCATTTCAGAGAAAAAGCAGGTGCAAGTATGGCAAAGCAAATAGCAGAAGTAGTCACTGCCATACTTGGCTGTTTCATCCAAGCCACAGAAAATAATTCTCTGTCCTTTTATTCCAGTTCAGAATGAATGTGTCTCCTGTTGCAAGATTCTAAGCAGATATTTCACTTGTTGGGACATACAATTCAACTGAATGGGTTATTCAAGAGTTTGATTATCAACAAGGGACTACCACAACCCCATTTTCTTTGAATTTAGGCTACTTACCATCCAATACAGAGCCCTAACTTTAGGGCTACAGACTGTTCTGGAGTGGTGACTCTTTACATCCCTTTTCTTGATGGAGCACTTTTACTCTGTGTATTCATTTGTGCAAGGACTGGAAGCTGTGTCTTTCCTTCTCCTCTTGGATATATTGACTCATACTACAGTATGAACCACATCTACGCGTTCTGAATCTGTCTTTATGGATTACTGGCAATTTGAGTGATTTCAGGCAAGCTGGAACATCTGTGAGAGAAAAACATGGGACCTCAAGGATGTTTTACAGTGGTGCGTAGTATGCCCCCTGAAAACTGCAAGCAAGAGTGACCACAAACAATTTAAACACAGTGTCTATTATAGACTCTTTTACTTCAAAATGCTGTTCTTCTAGACTAAAAGACTGACCTGAACATGTGCTCTCAAAGGACTAACCTGAAGATTTTGAAAGAAAGGAATCCAGCTCCTGGGGACAGCGGTCACAACAGGGAAGGGTGCCTCCCTGCAACCAATTTTGACACACTTCTCTCCTCAGATACGTTTACAGAGGGTTAAAACACCAGAACAATTAATTTCTGGCAAGAGCAACAACTGACTCTATTGTGTCTGGTATAGGAGTTCCTGAGTACGTCAGGATTATGAATCATAAGTAAAAGAGAGAATTAAAAGTTCTGCAGTGCAGTGTCTCCTTGCAAGCACGCCAGTGCAGTCCTGCTCTCTCATTTCTGGGAAAGGACGTTCCCTTGACCTCAGTGGGGTATTGTAATAAATCTCTGCAATAGACTGTTAACACCAAAGAGGTCAGGTTTTGCATGTAGGCCAGATCAGATGTACCACAACAAGGACTAAACATAGGATGAAAATGAAAGGGGCTGCCAGGGTGAGCAAGACCAATTGCGTACCACCACACGGTATTTAGTTCAGAAGCATCCAGTCACACAACCCCAAACACTGAAACCACAGAACAGCATCTCACACCACAAGGCTATAGCACCAAAGACCAAGAGCTACAAATACTAAAGTACCACAGAAAGCAAGCACAGGTGATCAAGGGCACTGTTAAGGTACCCATTCCTTACAGTAGGAGAAAATTTATTAGATTAACTGCCTGAATAATCCTAAAAAATTATCTAGTTCCACGCCATAAAGAGGTAAGAAATAATTTTAACAATCCCCATCACTAACACTGGGGATGAGTTCTTCCCAAACTTAAATTTCAGGATCAATCTAACCCTGAACCTGCAGTTCAGACATCCCAGTGCAGCACCAGGGAGAGTTTTCAAAGCAAGCTGCAGCATTCATGTACCCCACCCAGCTATGGCTGTGTTCACGGTTGGGTTGAAAACAACATCACTCTTTGAAAAGCCATAAATCATAACATGACTTGCTCTGAAGACAGGTAAGTCTGGAAAATATATAGTTAACTGCTGAATTTCAGTTGCCACACCTCAGTGTCAGATGTTATCAACAGAAATGAACCACAAGTTCCCTTTACAAGGTAGGCTACAACCTGTTTATGAGGTTTATACTTCATTATTTGAGAAGTTACGCTATTGCAGCTTTGTTCTGGCAGCAATCAAGCATAAAGAGCTGCACAGAGTATAAGCATAATCTTTCTTACTGTGGTAAATATTATCACTTAATTACCCTAAATGATCAGGTTCATTTCTGATGCTGCTCCATAGGATTCTTCCTGATACAGTTTCCCTAGAATAAATATTTTCCTTACATTTTAGCCTACCAATTTACAGTCTATTCCAAAGCCCACCAAATTCAGGACTTCAGATGGGGTCAATATCCACCATTACACAACAGACAATTAAACATGACCTAGTCCTAAGTAACGAGTAACACAGTTAAGGAATACTGGCATCTACAGAGGCTTAGCAATTCTCTTAACTCAAAAACACAAGCTCATGGTACAACTTTTGTGAAAAGAAAATTGATCCCTCACTCCCCAGCTACACCTGTGGTTAAAACACCACCTGTTAGCATGCCTCACCACCTGAATTCCTTCCCCTGTTAGAGAGGCTGGCAGGGATTAATTATTTTAATTGGTCAATTAAGGACCAGGGGGAAAGAACCACACAGGTGAATGTGGGTGTATTACTCATTCACCTGCAGCTGCTGCAAAATACCTGCAGAGGAAGTGAGACAGGGAAGCAGTCAAACACAACTGTTCTCAGCTGAGAAATACTAATGCAAGGAGTAGAATTACCCTTTGTGTGCTTGAGCACACAAAACCAGTCAGAGCTGCTCATTCTGACTCGACAGAGGATGTTGCTCCCCCTAAGTGCGCCAGGGGCCTCCTCCACAGCTTGCTGGAGACAGAGGCAGGATTCCCCTTGTCCTTGGTCAGCATCAGCAGGGGCAGGTCCTGCTCTGTGCTCCTTGTACCTCTGCCTAACACACTGAAAGTCTCAGGGCTTGTGGAGCACCTGGGAACTTCACCTCTCCTTTGCTAACAGTGACTACTAAAGCAGGGTGGTTTGAGCTTTTGGATGCTCAAAGCAAGCTTGAATACCTCACCCAGATCAACTGTAGGGACGTTTTCATAGCTGGCTCCCACTATACAAATTAAAACAGTGTAATTTTAACCAGTTGCGTAATTTTACATTCAAACTCACTGGCTTTTGGGGAAGGAGGGCCACACTGTGCACCCTTTAGGAATCCAGTTTAGGTGTGACTCAGCTTCTACCTTCATGAGGCTAAAGGCACATCCACGCTGCAGCCCCAACCCTGACTGTGACGCTGCAGGGAGAGCCACGTAGCGGGAGCCCCGTGAGAGAGGAGGAGGTACCCTACCAGGAGGCCCAGTGCTGGGTGGACATTGTATATTCGCTCACTGCCCGTGAAGTCATCTAAAGTGTTTTTTCTTCTTCACTTACATTTCCTTTCCATCATTTCACACCGTGCCTCTTTGTAAATCGCACAGTAAATGTAGAGAGAGGCACGTGCCCCGCTTTGCGGCACCTAGGACAGGATGCTTCCTTGGCTTTACACACACATACTCGGTCCCGCTGAAATAAAGGGTCTGCTTCCTCTCCATCAACTGCCATTTGACAACACCTAGGTGATTCTTCTGGCTTTTTTACAGTTGAAGTTGGATAAATTATTGCATCCTCCTTGCCAGACAAGAGAAAGCTTTCTGACTGCAGCTTTTTGCAATTTTGAAACTACCACCAAGTGAAAACCTCCTTTGCCAAAGCCCTCCTTTCAATCCCAGGTTCATCAAATACGGAGTGCTCCATGTCACATGCAGAGGGGTTTTCCTAACTGCGGAATCTGAAAACTGCCTGGTTTTCAAAATTAGTACTTGTTTATGATGAGTGTTTGTTGACATGAGCACTCCAAAGAAAAAGGCAGGCCAATGGTTAACAGAACCCACCCTTTTTGTGATACCTCTGGAAAGTAAGCTGGGAACTGTGTTTTTTTTCTTTCAGAAAGTCATGCTTTATTAGGTTGTGTACAATTGTACCCTGACTGTTTTTCTCAACTGAAGGCACTAAGCAAACAGGCTGTTACATGTTCCTAGTCATCATTCTGCAGACACCCAGAGAAGGCACCAGAGAGCCACCTGCAGAAGCCTCACCTCCACAATCTTGGTGGGGTCTTGGTGCAAGAGCCTGCTTCTTTTGAGCTCTTCACTTCAAAGGTGTTACCTTTTCTAGGAATATGGCTTCTCTCCCTTGGATCATGACTTGGGAAAACAATTACGATTTTTCTCCAGCACCTGTGGAAAGTTAACATGCAGTCGATCGCTTTCCCACACAGCCACAGAATGAAGTACCTTGTTTCCTGAAAGAGGGCTTCTATTTCAATCTTCTCTTTTTCAGTGGGCAAGGTGGAGAAAGGATGTTTTGCAGACAAATTGCACAGTCCCTACTCAGCTGCAAATTTCCACTTCACAAAATTAATTAATTTAGGCCTTCAGTGAAGTGTATAAGGCTAAAGAGGCTAAACCCAGGACTCTGGTAATATTTATGATAAGTAAATATTGAGTTATAATAGCCAGGGGAAGATCTGTTTGTACAGTTGTGCTATGCTGAGTATTAGCTATAAATGGACATTCAGAAGAAACATGGTGACAGTCTAAAGAGCTATAAAATAGATCACCCTTTGTGTTCAGAGCAGGAGTTGAACGTGCTTGGCTACGCTGGTTGAGTACAGCAACAGCAAGAATTTAAAATTCCTGGTCTGCTTGTTTAGCTACCATGAACAAGAAAGGTTTCCTACAAGGCTTTACAAGAAACAAAAATAAACATAAAACCTGCATATAAGTGTACACAAGCAGCGTGTAATAATTGTGAAGCTACACTCACTACATTAAAACAGACAAAAACTTCCTGAAGCTCATTTCCACTGTGGATGCTGCTCCTTGCAAGTACATAACACAGAGTGGCTGAGGTATCTGAAGCATGAAAAAACACCTTGTTTGTAAACTTTGTTTTCTATGCGCTTTGTTGCTAGAACATAGTCCTATGGGTTAGAGGTAAAAAGGTCCTGTCAGTCAAGCAACAATTTGTTCTTAAGTCAATAAAAGTCATTCAGACTTTCTTCCATAGATTTTAAGGAAAAAGCTGGAATAAAACTTTTGCTCTAGTCTCAGGTTTGGTGTCTGAAAGTAGGGCTTTCATTATTCCTTATGTAAGACTATATAACAAGCTATATAAAACACAAATACAATTTCTTTCTTTAGAGGAGTCTGCCTTTGTCTAACAGTGAGTCAGCATCATCTGACAGATCAATTTTCTGTAAGTGTAGGATGTGGATTTTGCATATCACGCTCTCCAAGGGCACCTGTTGGAAACTTGGGTGACTACAGCGTGGAATTTCACACCACATGCAAGGTCAACTCAATGACCTCCCAGAGCAGAGACCTACATCACAAAATCTCATCAATAAGAATGAGGCTGATACCAGATACCTCAAGTTTTCTGTCTTCCAGGTCTGTCTTTCTAGAAAGGGGACAACAACATTCCTTAATACTTTCTTTGTTCTTTCTGAAACCGTTACTGTGTTTAGTATCCACAGGATCATTCAGGTCAAAAGGGACCTCAGGAGGTGTCTAGTTCAACCTCCTGCTGAACGGCGGGTCAGCTGTGAGGTCAGATGAAGTTGCTCTGAGCTTTATCCAGTCAAGTCTTGAAAAATCTCCCAGGATTTCTGGCTTCTCTGGGAACCATGTTACAAAACTTAATTGTCCTAACGTTAAAAAAGCTTTTCCTTGTGACCAGTCTGAACCTCTGATGTTTCAGTTTATACCCACCATCTGTCATTCTTCTGCCAGGCACCACTGTGAAGAGCCCGGCCCTGTCTTCTCCCCGTAGGTAGGGGCAGGCCGCTGTCGGGTGCCCCCAAAGCCATCTCCTCTTGCCCCCTCAGCCTCTCAGCAGGGGGGAGGTGCTCCAGCCCGTGCCACTGTGGTGGCCTTCTGCTCAACTTGTAGTTTATCAACATCTTTCTGATGTTGGGGGCCTAAAACTGTACAAAGTGTTCCAGAGGCAGTCTAACAAGCGCTAGGCAGAGGGAAGTAATCACTTTCCTCAGGTTACTGGCTGCGCTCCCGCCAGCACAGCCCAGGATGCTGTTGGCCTTTTTCTGCTGCCAGGGCCAGCTGCTGGCTCGCGTTCAGCTTGCTGTCTGCCAAGACCCCTAGGCCTATTTGAGCAGGGCTGCTCCCCAGCCAGGCAGTCTCTGGCCTGTATTGTTGCAAACTCCCAAATTCTTTTGATACCAACTCTGCAGGGATGGCCAGGACACCCTTCCCGTGCCACACACGGCAGAAGCTCCCGGATCTCCATAGATCATCTGCAATTGTAAACCAGGATTAACTTCATAAAGACATGAAGATAAAATATTGTTCGTGCACTTTTTCCATTATCTTTAAAGACAAGGGTACGAATTCCTCCCAATTCTTGTATCTGAAAATGAGAACAGCTGCTGTGAGGTGTTCCTTTCCTCTGAGCATGGCTGTTTATAGTAAACTATATGAGGCTTTGATCAGCCACTTATATTTACTGAATTGATTGCAATATCTGTGCCAGTGGGCTGTATGGATTCTCAGCATGAGATGCTCCTGCTCATTTGAAGTGGTTGAGATTGTTTTTCAATGGAATTTTCCATTATGCTCTGTGCTGTCTTTCTTCAAAGCGCAATTTGCTCACTGTGCAGTACTCCTTGTCCAACATAATATGCAGAACCATTTTATATCGTGCTCAATACTTTTGTTTTCTTCCCATGATGCTTTACCTCCATTTATTCTCTTGTCTCAACCAGTTTCCTTTTACAGCTCTCTTGTATGTAAACTGATACGTTTTTAGGAGCTGTTATGTAGTGGGTTTTTCTCCCCCATCCTCCCTCTCTTCAGTATTAAAAATTTGGAGGCAGTCAAGACTTCTCAGGGAAGATACGGTGCTTTTTTCCAAAGGCATCTGCCTCCTACCCTCCCTTTTTTTTCTTTTGTACTGACAGTTAGGGTGCTAAATGGTACAGACACAGTAATCCTGCACACACTACAATTAGTACCCCTCTAAGGGGATCACTACCATTACACACTGTTTTTAAACAGAGATGTTTAAACCCCATCAGCAGGGGCTGGACAAATCAGCACATCTACAATAGAGGGGAAAAGAATCCATATCCCCAAGCCCCAACTTAAAGCTCTGTCCATTGGACAGCTGTAGCAAATCGGTGGGTTTCCCCCTTCTCCATGTCAGAGCCCAACAAAAGACAGACAGACAACCATACTGAGCTGCAGACTGCAAAAGAGCAGGGAAAGATTTACAACAGCTAGTCCAGCAACACAACATACAAGAACTAGTGGAGTTGCGTATCTTACAGTACTACTCACTCACCAAAACATGACATTATTTCTCAAGGAAAAAAAGAGCAATTTTGGCTCTCTTGCTTTACTGTGTTACTTCTAACTGTATCACAAACTGCATCTCTATTAAATTGGCAACATCGGCTAAACTAGACACAGGCAACGTACTAAAAACCCAAACATGCTTACTAGGGAGCTTATACCTCTGGTCAAGGTTTACTTACAAGTGCGATTAACTGTTTGTTACTGATACACACTTTAACATAGTGGGCTAGCATATTCAAATAAACAGCAAGTAAAAAGAAAAGCTTTACAGTTAGGCAATCTCAGGCTGCAGAAATACAGCAGTTTTCAAGTATGAAAAATCAATATATGAAATGAGAAGAATTGTACCATCTCCCACAGCAAAAGCTTCCATGTCTGAGGTGGTGCACATGTTAAACTAGACCAGGGAATCTACTATGAAGATCTAACCCCTTTTCCAGCAATGTACAAAATCTCAAATTAAGACATCTCAATTAAAAAAAAAATAAACAGCAAGCAAAGCCAAAAGATTTCACTCTAAATTTTCTAAGTCCACTAGTTTAAAAGGCAAACAAACAACAAAAATAATCCACCCCACCCACCCCTCGACCAACTCGAGATGCACTGGATGCAGTTTTTCTAGGAAAACACAAAACCAAAACCAGGCTGTATAACTTCACTTCAGATGAAAATCTGACCCCGCAAGCCTCCCCAGATCACGGGCATATTTACATGGCTTAGTAAATGACCACAGTCCAGTTATTTTTAATAAAGACTCCATTACAGAACGGGGGCTCTGCTGTAGACTGTACACCTCTGCAACTGTTTTTCCTTCTGTAGAATCTGGACAGCACAAAAGCCTCACAGTAGCAGACTAAATTTATGACTACAGATACTCAAATTTGACAAAATAATATTAAATATTTAATTAAATAACAGTCTGATTAAATATTGCAGTTTTAGTTACTGTTAGGAACAGCTTTGTATTTTTTTATCCCTGAAACAGGCTTTACACAAGATGCACCCTGTGCTATCTTATACTCTCACTGATGCCATCTAGTGAGCAGCTGCATCTAATTCCTTATGAATCGGGATGTTAAAGACATTTGAATTGCTTTTAGCTGTCTATATGCAACAGCAGCACATGTAACTTTCAAGTTAGTAACAGTATATCGAATATATAGAAGTAGGTAGTTTTGACTGGGAAAAGAGCACTTACGTGGCAATAAACAGCATCCCAAAATAATGTAAGGCTGCTAACTCAAAAATACAAGAAAATTACTAACAGTTCAACTCCAAGTTCATGCACTCAACCCTACATTACCTAGTGTTTTGGGGTTTGGTTGGTTGGTTTTTGTTTGGGGGGGAGGGTGTGTTTGGGTTTTTTTATATAAAAAGAGATGCTGGTATTTCTATAGTCCTAAAATGAGGAGCAAAAATTTGTTCAGTGATTCAGTGGGTGAAGATAAAAACCAAAAAACTCTCTAGAGCACGTTGGGGACAACAGGCCTCTTGCTGCTTATGATCACCGCATTCACGTGGCAGCCCCTGCTTACACTAAAAAGCAACATTACGTAATAAGTTATTTTCAGTTTCCTCATTGCTAATTTCTTCCCAGTCATCCAAAGCTTCCTCATTACTGTCTGCTTTGGTGGCATTCCCCAGTTGCCACAAGAATGCAGAATATCAGCAAAAGAAGAGAAATGGCACGAGCAAGTAAGAGTAAGCATGTCAGTGGCAATAATGTAGTCAAAGACCCATTTGTGAATTACAAACTATAATAAATGCTAATATCAGATACCTGCAGATTTTGTTTTTTTTGTTTTTTTTTTTTTTTTTTAAATGATATGCCAATGCTCTGTAAAGGATGGTAAACCAGCCAAGTACCAATTCAAATGTTTAATTACCATTTCTGTTGATTAAAACAGATGGCCACCACTGTATTCACATCATTGTCTAGCACTGTCTCCATGGAACTCTGGCAAATTCAAGCGTGTCTGCTTGAGCCTTTCAAAAAATACAAGGAGAACATGAAAGTTTGAAAGTAGGAGTGCGCAAGTTACACAATTACTCTTAATGTATTTGCCTCCTGAATTCCCGATAGGGGAATCAATGTAGGAGAATTCTTCTCCTCCATGAATAAAAGGCTTGTGTGATCAACAAATCAGATTGAAGTCAGACATATTTATGAACAGGAAAGCAAGCTCAGGAATTACTATTTTAAGTCAAGGAAACATACATCAATACACGTAATTCTAGCACAGGACCACCGCTTCTACAGTGGAAGTGTTTCTTGTACACAGCCTGCAGTCTGAGCTTTGATAAAAGACGTTGCTACGAACGACCAGAGCACTCGAGAGTCCCCCCAGACGCGGGCTGGGTGTCGCAGCTCCCCACCCACCCAGGGCCGGGCTCGGCAGGGGCGCGCTGCCCTCTGCCGCTACGAGTCCAGCAGGGACTGGCTGTGCGTCCCGCTTCGCGTCTTCAGCTGCGACTGGGCGATATCTGCCAGGGCACTCTGGATCTTCTCCAGCAGCATGTCCCCGCGATAGACCACTTCTTCCAGACGGGCAGCTGCTTCGTGATTTTCTTCTTCTAATTGGTACAGACTAGCGGCCTTTGAAGTAAAAGGGAGAAAAGTACCAATCTTCAAATAAAATATAAAAATTGACTTTGCTACTAAAGGTAGGTGATGGAACAGTTAGTGCTCCCTAGAAAAGAGAAAGATTCTCTCTTTAGCCCCTGAATTACATACGACCAACTTCAAAGCAAGTCATTACAGGTTGCAGCCTAAACCAGCATGGAGTAAACACAAATACCCCCAAAATACCAAATAAAGATGTTAGCTTCTTTCATATAATGACTCTTGGCTTAGTACAGCTTCTCCTGATGAAAAGCAATTATTTATCTCCCTCCCCACTCCCTTACTGAAAGGTGCTCAGCAAGATGTAAACATAACTTCTTTAAATCTTTCCGTTAAATAGCCTATTTCAGATGAAACTGTATTATTTAACCTTTTTTTCTTCAATATTTTGTTTCAGAATCAAACTGCTTCTCAGTTAGACAAAGTTTACTAAAATATTTTTAAGTTAAAAGGTTTTATTTCGCTGCTTTAAAATATTTACCAAATTTAAAACTACTAAAACTTGTTCTAACTGGGTAACAGAAAAGACAAAACAAAATAGTTTCAAACTGGTATTTCTTAAAGCAGTTACACAGGTCCTTAAGAAGTCATGCTTAAACTAACTGGCAAATTCCGTCCACATATTTACCTTCTGTTCTGTAACACTGATGTCTACAGTGAAGGTTTATATATACATCAAGGACTTGGTAGCCCTTGGAGGAAGGGTCAGAGAAGGAAGATGGCAAAAGGCAGAAGTTTGAAATTTACAATCCAGCTCAATTACTTCAGTCTCAGTTGCTAAATAGTTGACTGCAGGTAAACCACAGATTTGAGAATATGTACTGCCAACTTCACCACAAGGGAACAAAAAAGGGATGGGTAGATTGTGTAAGGCATTAGTGTAGCAGCCCCTTTTATCATTTAAGGCAAGCCTCAGATTTGAAACATAAACCAAGACAACCTTAGTGTGTGCATAAATATATATAATATAAAACCAAAACAGGTCAGCCTGAGCATATCTCTATTAGTCAAGTATCCATCTACCACTTCTCAACATAACTTATACTGCATATTTGTATTTCAGAGTGTTTCAAGCATGTTCAAAACAGTTTTTTAAAAGAATGTCAGAATAATTATCTTTAATATTGCAACAAATTAAACTACAGAAAATAAAAATCAAAACTAGAATCAGCAAGTGATGGAATCCAAGATAACTTAGCTCAAAACCCCACCAAGGGTGAGAAATTCTTGTGAAACAAGTTCTGCATTAACAGAGCAAGAAGAATATCATCTCTAAGGAAAGCATGCCCCTACTGGATAACCAGCACCTCTTTCTGCAGCTTTCCCTGCATCAGCTGTCACTGTGATCAGGCCCTGCTCAATCATGGAAGAAGCATGTAATTTGTTTGCAGCAGGAAAGCTGTCTTCAGCTGTTAAATATGCAGTTACAGGAAATTATGCTGGTGTTAACAGGCCCAATTAGTATGTTCAGCAATTATTGCTACTAGCAACGTTTCCAAATTTAACCTCCTCTGTTTAAAACCAAATGTGATGTCACTGTCAAATCATTTGTATTTAGACCAACAGGCACCTCTAGTATTAGTCTTTTGTAAAATGCATTTGAACAGTTACAGATTATCAACCCAAGTGTAAAACCTTCAAGTGATTTTAAAGCAGTTCCAGGGTTCTCTGAGAAACAGCACTCTTTGCACCCTTGTAACAAAGAAAATACTTGATGTAAATCTAGCAATTAAGAGTCAAAAAGAGGATGCTGTTTAATAGGCAATATCTGTAAAAATAACAGCAAAATAAACCCCAACACAGCAGTGTTCTTTGAACTGAGGGTCCAAGGCATTTTTTGAAAGTGGGAAACAGCTGAGCATTGTGAAAGGATTCACAAGCTGTTTGCAGCAGTCCAGCTCCTGTAAGACAGGGAATGGAGGCTGTGACACTGGCTGCCCCTGCTAATAGCTGCCTGGCCAGTAACTGCTTTCTGTTCCCAAGCTCTTCCTAGAGCACCTCTGGTCTAAAGGGAGAAGGAGCAAGAAACAAAAGCACCAGGTTTGGCTGGTCCAAAGGAGGACACCCTATTACTGAAAAGTGGAAGAACTGTTTTGTGGCAGAGCTGGGGAACTTAAAGGATGCCCTCCAAACCCTTTAACAACCACAAACATTGTGGGAGAACAAAAGGCTTCAGTAAAGTGTCAGCTCTGCAGCTACAAAATAAAACACGCTCCGAATGAGTGACAGAATGTGAAAGATTACCCAAAGAAAAAAAAGAATCAACAAAAAGTTCACAACGTATCGATATGTTGCATCTGCTGTATTAATATTTGGCTAGCTGGGAAAAAAAAAAAAAAAAAAGGAATAGCAGTTTACAGTACTGTGGTATTATGATAAAAGCACTTTTTTTTTTTTTTTTTCCAACATTCTAACAGAAAACTAAGGTTAAAATATTCTAACTGTGTATAATCTTAACTAGATGAAAGTTCAGTATTTCCACTAGGCCCGTAAAGTACCCACATGCTACCCTCATGAAAAATTCAGGCTTATACTAAAATAATTTTTCAAGATTACACGGCCTAGAGTAAAAAACGTGTCTTAGAGGGAGAAGTTGGTCTTCAGTTACGTTTAGATAGTTTAATTAAGAACACTCTTACCTGCAAAGCTGCTGTTGATTCTTCACTAGGCAGGGAATCTATTAGAACATCGATATCTTTCGCAGTTCGTGCAATCAGTGCTGCAAACAGTTGGGCGTACTCTTTGAAAAAGAAAAAAAAGTCAGCCTACCCAGTAAATTATTAGAAATAAGCACAATTCTGAATACACAGCACAGAAAATTCTTGAAGTATGCAGGTGTTAAGAATTCTCCTGCATGAAGAAAACAACAGTATTGTAACTGATGGGAACTCAATCGTATTAGAAGATAAACTTAGTTTGATCCCAATCCTAGATTAAACAAGGTAACTGGATATACAAAGGGCTGGGCTTTGTACAAATGAGAAAATAGCCAGAAATCCACCACAGTTAGATAATTGAGAAATTACTAACACCAGTATTAAGTACCCTAGTCATTACATGAAGTATTGACAAGTAGTTAGAAACTCATTTAACATTTCAGTCCTCGAGATCATTAGAGAGAAAATATTTTCTAATGTCAAAAATCTATAGAAGAGATTGACATTCTCAAAGGTACATCTGACTTTAACTTTAAAAAAAAAAAACCAAACACCCTAACAAAACCAACATATCCATTTAAAGCTTACCCGGGGTCACCACAGGGTTTACCTGTAAAGAGTTTTAAGGTACCTTCTTATTAAGACTTCAGATATCTAAAGACACGTAACTAGTAGTTTTGGTTTTGCTCATCAGAATCACTAACATGGCTGTACGATTTTGCTGAAGTGACTATATTTAGAATTTTAGGAAAAGACAAAGCAAGAGAGAGGTCAGTCATGACCCACCATTTTAAGATCCTAGCAAAGCTTCTAGCTCCTGGCACCACGCTGATGCTGGCACCTGGGACGGCAGCAGGTAAGAGAAGGAAGCAAACAAACCTTTCTGCTGGCTCTTCCAACTAATTCCAGTATCAGAGAGCAAACCACCACAGACCAATGAACCAGTATTCAACTGTCCTAAAAAGTGCATTGCTGCACTCCAAACCAGTCCCCCCCGATATCCTAATCTGATACAAGTTATAGGTAATATTTTTCTCCCTCCCCCCAAGAAAAAGGAATAAAAAAGATTCAGGATTAGAAAACCATGGTTATTTAAATACTAACTTGAAAGTCCCAAATATGAGAGAACTTTTAGTTTGCTTGCCAATTTCAGCACCTCTTAGACCAGTTTCTTGTCTCTCAAGAAAACCCCAAAACAGCAAACACCACCACCACAAATGCCAATGGGGTGATTCAACATGACATTACTCCTTAATTAATTACTTAAGCAGAAAATACATGGAGAAACACAAATAATTAAAAGCTTATGACATGGAGAACTTAAAATTCATACATGATTTCATCAGACTAACAGTAATTCTTTCTAAAAAAGACTTCCTGGAAGTAATGTACAACTAACTACCTCTTGCAGCAATTCTATTAAAATGTTTTATATCTGTAGAGCTACTGCATCTGTGCAAAGAAACCAGCACAAAATATACATAGTAATGCTTACTTAACACTTAAAAGTACATTTCTGCTATCACACTCTTAGGCAGCAAATGCTGCTGACATCCATTTATCACTTCAATCACTCCACCAGTTACTGGGGAAATGGTTTGCCGAGCATGAAATAGAGATTTTGTATTAGCAGAGCGTACTGTATCAGAACACGTTGGCATTCTGCTAGGAAACACAGACTTGCCTTCCGTTGGATTAGCAGGCTGATCTTTGTTTATCGCCGTCTGAATGTTGCTGAAGGAGGCCGGGGGCCCACACTGCTGCAGCACCCCGATGGCGTTGCAGAACTGGTCCGCGAGCTGCAAGCAAGTGGAGAGATCGCCAATTACCTTCACCACTAAAGCGACATCCATGTCATCCCGCGCCCCAGCGGGCCCCACGCGGCAGCCCACCCCCCACCGCGGCGTGACGTGGGAGCACCCCCGCCCCCCCTCCCCGCGCTAGCCCCGACCTGGGGGCTGGTCCCGCACCCCTCCGACCGGTAAGAAGAACCACGGGCACCCCACCGAATTCACCGCGTCCTGCAGCTGCGTTAACCGATCCGCCATGGCGCCGCCACCGCCCACCTGACCGGGCGCGCAGCAACTGGCGCAGCCAATAGGGCGCCGGGATGTTGGGTGGGCGGGGGACGGGCGGCTTCCGGTGGGGCAGGGCGGGCCTGGCGCGCCCCCTGCCGGCCGGGAGGTGGCCCGGTGCCCCTCCCGCGCAGTGCCGGAGGAGCCGCTTTCTGGCACTTTTTTTTTTGTTTTCCCGCCCTGGCTTCGGCTGACACCGTGCCGTTGGCAGGGGCTAACATTATTGCCGTCAGAAACACCTATCCGCGCTCATGACCGCGGCTGGGTGAAACACGCTGGTGCTAGCGGCAGCAGGGTGGTGTGCCACGGGGCCGATTTGTGCCTGTCGGTACGCGACCGGTATCGAGCTGATGGTCATTCAGCGCTTAAACCCTTTCTTTCTCATCTCTGAAAGCCGGGTACGGTGGGACGGGACGCCCAGGGAGGCTGAGCACCCGCTGTCCTCGGGGCTCTTCGGGCTCGGTGAGGCAAAACCACGGGTGACCTGCTCTCATGTCGGCTGTGGTCCAGCTTCAAGGGGCAGCTGGGCTGGAGACCTCCAGGAGTTTCTTCTGGCCAACTGGTCAGTGACCTACAGCTACCATCACACAAGCCCACCTGACAAAAGCGCTTTTCTGATGGCATGGTTGGGGTTAGGATTTTGTGGGCCTGCAAATGTAAACTGGGCTGTGGGGTTCCTCCACGCTCCTCGGTTAAACAGCCGAGCCACAAACTGCTGTGCTGCAGACCAAAACCTACCGCGTGTTTTTGAGGGGTTTGCAGCTGTTGTTGAAGTCAACAGATTCCTTCTTGGATTTCCAGGAGCGCGGTGGATGCAGGACTGAGCCTGGAATAAGTGAGGCTCATGGCACGAGACAAGCCTCTTGCAGGCACTGCTTGTCTGTGACTGAGAGCCACGGGTGAGCAGTTTGAACACTGAGCTGTAAATAAAGAGTGACTAAGGTCTCAGAGGTCAACTATGACAATGGCAAGCACTAAACTTAACAGACTTTTTAATATCTCATGGATTTTGACTTACAGGAACCTTGTGGAGCAGAACAAAAATAACCTCCGCAAACTAGATAACCTGGTGGAGAAAGGGTGCTTTCCTAAGCACAGTAGGCAAACGCAGGGTGAAAAAAGTACACCCGTTTATCTGAAATAGCTATAAATGTGGACCGGCACTCATCTCTCTGTTCTTCTTATGCCCAACTGACAGCTTCCTTTTATATTTTAACTGCAAACGTGATTGAAGCAAGCTGGGGAAGAAATAAACACAATAAGGGTGATCGTACAAGGATTTTTAGAGCCTAGGTTATGATGCAAATTCATAAATAAGGCCTAAACACCAAAAACGAAAACACCCCCCCCCCAAAAAAAAAAAAAAAAAAAAAAAAAGGGACATTTAGCTTGCTTTCTGTTTTCTCCCGTCACGTGCCCGTGAATCACCTTCGCAGCCAGAGGCGCCTTGAAGACGCAGCAGCGAGCCTCTGAGGCTGAGCAGCGTTTCTTACTGCTGTTCATGAGGTAAAAACAAACGGCGGCTGCACTAAAAAAAAAAAAAAAAAAACCAAAAACTGAAGAAAATACTAAAAAAAAAATCCAAACCACAGCAAAACTCTTCAACCCTCCCCACGTCGACCTGAGAGACCCTCCCAAGCCCCTCAGCCGCCCCCAGTAGCTGGGAGGATAAAAAGCCGTTGGGGACGGCGGTTGGGGCCGTTACCTCAGCCTCATCGCGCAGGTGGGTGAGGGGCTGGCGGGACCCACCTCCGGCCGGGCGGGTCCTGTGAGGCGGCGCAGCGCCCGCCTTCGCGGGCGCTGCGCCGCCTCACAGGACCCGCCCGGCCTAAGCCCCTCCTAACCGCCCTGCTCCGCTTTCAGCTTCATCGCCCCTTCCCTCCGCAGCGCCATGCCTCTCTCTCCCCGCGCCCTGGTGCTCTTGGGGCTCCTGGGGGTCCTGCGCCGCGGCGGCGCCTCAGGTGAGCGCGGGGAGGGAGCGGGAACTGTGGGCCGTGGGCCGCCATTAGGCGGGTGGAGGGCCAGTGGAGCCCGGCTTGTACGGGGGAGAGGGTTTTTTTGGACGGGTCGACAGCTAGCAGGATGGAGGGGAAGGGGTTTATTGCCGGGAGGGGCCTGCAGAGGTGTGTTTTTTTTTTTTTTTTTTTTTTGGGGGGGGGTGGTGGGGGGGGGGGTGCGGCGGAGCGACTTGCTGTTATCTGGAGGCTTTAGCAAGAGTGATGATTAAAGCGAAGATGTAGCTGCCTGCGAGGCTGGAGAAGAGTTTTATATATTCATGGTTATCTATAATCTTGATGTGGGCAGGGAGAACCCATTTACCCCCTTCCCCCCTCCTTTTTTTTTTTTTTATTTCTACCTTTGTTTTTTGTTTCACAGCCTAACTGTTATGAACGCCATCATATTAACTCTTACATGGATATGCTGGACTAATTTCAACTGTGCAGATGCAGGGATAGGGATCAGGCTAGTGGGTCTGGTGTAGAGTTGTATTTCTTCTAAGAAGGTAGCATTCACTACCTATAAGTTTATATGAGAAAGGGAACAAGGTTACAAGGTTAATAGCAGAAGTGTTGGTTGGGTTTTTTTTGGGGGGGTGGGAGGGTGGTGGTGGTTGTTTTGTTTTTTTTGACCACATACAACTGGTCGTGGGTTCCCAGCACCCTGTGAATTGTGTTGAAAATCACTGTCCCTATACAATTAAGGAAATGAACAAAACCCCTTAGAACTTGGAGCTTGGTTCCTAAAGTTATTTGTTGGCCATGCTGATGTAATCTGACTTTATTTGGTGTGGGTGTTTTTTGTTGTAATTCCCCTGTGTTCCTGCATGTGACTAAAATAGGTGTGCAGAGGTAAGTATAGTTTGTGGAGATTCAACAGTTGACTTGCTTTTTTCTGATTAAGATCTAAACTCTTATCTGTTTAAATAAAGGAAGAAATATTAATTTTCCTTTCAAAGATATGTTAGGGCTGATGTAAGCCTCAGCTTCTTAGTTTTTTAATTTATTTTTAAACTTGCCTCTAAAGAAGCTTAATTGTCCAAGAGGAGAAATCTATTCTTGGGCTACTTTGTAAGGCTGCAGGACAGTGTTTGGGATCAGCCCCCTGCCCACCCCCTAGTCTCATGCCCAAAATCTTAATGGGGAGCCAAATGTTCCCTGCTTCTTGCAGGCGTTCGAAGCTTATGCTTGGCAGCTGATGGTGACAAGCAGGTCTGAGAATGAAGGCTCAGTGTACTTAGATTTTAATGTTTGTATTAAAAGATGATGACAAGCAGTTTGCTTCCCATACTTGATTGAAAATAGGTCATGTGTTGTTTTTTTTTTTTTTTTTTAAACAGTATGTAAAAAGGCAGAATGAATATGGGACCAAGCTAACTGCTTTGTCTTGAAGGAGCCTGTTGCTGTATTTCCTTGCAGAACTGAGGGTAGAGGGGGGGAAAGTGTTTTTCTCACGAATAGCTAATGAGCTGTGTAATTTGTCTATCAATGTCTAGCTGATCATTAGACCCTTTAAACAAGGATGGTTGCTTAATGGTTCACTTATTTGAAATTGTCTTGTGGTTACTCAGCCTTGGACACCCAGGTTTGCAGGGATGAACTCTGCTATCTCCTAATACTGGAAGATCCTGCTTAATTATAAAAGTACTGATAAGTAAAATCCCCTAATGGCCTGTATTACCTCTCTGGGGTTCTGATGGGCTGCAGCTCCTAGTATTTGTGCAGAAGTGCTTTATATATCATGTCTGTTACCTTCCAGGGAGCTCTAACTTCATGAAGTAGGAGTGTAACTGGCCTTGTTTGTTAGATCCAAACCAAGTTTAGTGTTGGAAAAAGCAATGGGAATTTATAGTGTAATCAGGATTGAATGGTGTCTTTTTCATAAAAGGAGCTTCTCTGGATGAACTTAGTTTGTGCTAGCTGCTTAGTCTATGCAGAGACAACATTTTAAAATAAGTGTCATACAAAGTTCTTCAGTTGTCTGAATGTATTGGACAGATGATCGCTTGCATCTTGAAGCATCATTGCCCGGATGTGCAAGTGACATCTTAATCAACAGTGCCAGCAAGGTGGCATGTTCTGGCCGAAGCGGATTAGTAAAACTGTAAGCAGGTGAGACGAGTGGTATTTTCCTCACTTTTCAGACTGTAGAAGACCTCATGAGCCCTAACTTGGTGAACAGAATAGTCTTCTGGGATGGGAGCGGTGCAGTTGGTAATAAGCCACTTTCTGTGGCACTATCTGCTTTAAGCATCAAACTGTGCTCTAAGCATGAGACTTGGTGCACATGCAATTAAAGTTTAGAAGCTTTCACAAGTTTTCTTGCTTCTTTTGGGAGTGGGTGGGGTCTTTATGTGGGGTTTTACTAGTGTGGGAACACAGAGACCTTGTATCAGGACTCTGCTGTTTATCCATGTATGGATGGACTTACAGGTTCGATATAATATGGCTACTGGCTTTATTCTCTTAAGTAACTGTGTACTTATGTTTTCCCTACTCAAACTAGTTTTCAGTCTGAGCTTGCATTTCATCTCCATTAAATGTCTTCACGTGACTACTTGTTGACATTTTCCCTACACTGGAAGGTTCGTTTCACCTCTTAAAGCTTATGTAAGGTTGTTCTGCATATCCACTGTAAGTTGATTGGCACAAAGTAGAAAGGTGTTTTCTCTGAACTTGGGGAATCTCTTTGTCTGAGGCAAGCATAATGTTTGAGCATGGGTCTGTAGGTAAAGATTGTTCTTGTATGGGCAGCAATGGCACTTCTTCAGTTGTGTTTCGTAATGGAAATTGGACTGCTAGATATCATCAAGAACCTTGTGTGGTTAACTGTTGATGTGGACTGACACTTGACTATCGGAGTTGGAAATGTGGTTTACTGAGAGCTTGGCACTGAATCGGTGGAGTGGAAATGGTTCAAGCTGGGTGTTGCTGATTGGGGAAACTGCATGTCACAGGGAAGGGATAATAAATGCTGAGCCTCTGTAGAGTTGATTGCCTTGTTGCTTAGAGTTAGGAATGAGGACTTCTGATCTCAGAAGAGCTCTGAGAGGTTCAATTCCTTTGCTGTCCTTACTGGTTTTACCCTTCATGTGGGAAAAAAAAGATACAATGTGGAGTGACAGAGTGGACTGTTGTCCATCTCTGTTCATCAGTTCTTTTATATGCTGGACTATCTGGTCCTGTTCTAGTATTGATACTAGTATACCGACTAATACACGCTCAGTACTCCATCTTTGCTCTGCTCTTGCTCAGTTTCAGCAATGCTGACTTCCTTTAAGTATGTTTTCCGTTGATAATCTCTGTAATAATGAGGGTTCCTCTCTTGTATTTAACCCAAACCTACTCTGACATGCAGTGACCATCATACTTCTCCTTACACAGTGAGGAAGAAGGGATAGCCTGGCATCTTACAGGGTGTTTCCAGACCTTCACTGTTTGAAGCAAGGGAAGCAATAAAAAAAGCTGGGATGCCTGGATTTTGTTACTGGCTTTCTTACTGACTTGATGGGTCAGCCAGCTCATTTCTGTGGTGGTGATATCTTTGCTGTGTGTGTTGCTGAACTTGCAGCCCTGTTTGATCTCACTGAGGGTAGCACACCGAGCTTGCACACTGTGGCCAGTACTACATGTTCATGGGGGTCTCCGTCCTTCAAAACATCTTTGACAACACTGACCTCTGTATGGCTCGGACAGTCTAATGCCTGTCTGAGAACTTGCAATAGCAATAGGCCAAACGAATTGTGAGTTGGTTAATTTGTCTGGCTCTATGTTCCCTTTCTGCCTTGGAGCACCACCAGTGGACTTTTTCAAACGACAGAAAAGAGAAGGATGGAAAGGTACTGTAGGCCCATGGCCACATAGCAATTGCTCTTCCAGCAAACTTCTTAGAAGGTTCTGCTGCTCTGCAGTGCTTCTGAACCCTCCTTTTAGTCATCTTTCAAGCCTGACTAGAAGTGTGGGTCAAGGAGCCCATGAACAACAAGCTGAAAAATGATTGTCTGATGGATGTAGCCCTTCTTGTTCTTCACCCTGAATCTACACTCTTCAGTCCAGACTTTGGTTTAAAATGTGTGTCACATGCACTGTTTTAGGAGCAATTATGCAAACAGTAATGTAGAACACCATGCCTTAATTTACCACACTAATTAAATTTGAGAGAGTGCCTCTGACATTTAGAGTCTCATGATCATGTTGAAGCAGTGGCTGCATGCCTTGCTGACAAATATCTCCTTGCTTATGCAGAGGCCTCTGGGTATGAGTACAGAGTGAAGGTGAGAAACAAAACAGTGCAATGCAGTTTTTTCCCCCCCGTGATATAAAGCATAAAGAGGATGTATATGGCTTTAGCTTTTTCTTGAAGAAAACATCTGAGTGTGAACAACTTGGGGTTCAGGAAACTATGCCAAAATTCTTAAAGATCAAAGAAAAATATTCCTGCATTCTGAGCTTTCACTCCAAATTTCTGAATGCGTAGATGTGTAGTCTGTGCTTTTAGAATGCTTTTCTTTAGCATTCGTACTGCTAGTTGCATTTCTGGTAGGACTTAAGAGCTAAGAATGAAAGAGGTCTTGTGAAGCGGAAGATATCTGAATGCTGCTCAAGGGACTTCAGTTCAGAAACCGAAGAATACACAAAGCTTTTTTGTAGCTCTAATTTTACATTAATAACTGTTTGAAAACTTGGGGCAGAACCTTTGTCTACCTTAACACACACTGCAGATGATGGGACACAAAAATGGAGAATTTTTTTTTTTCCCTCCTCCCCATATTTCATCTGTGGTTTTATTGGTGATGCAGTACTGGTACCAATCAAATTTTGGGGTGAGCATGGGTTGAAGTTAGCAAGATGAGATGAATTAGACTTTTCCTCTGCTGTGAGGTGAGTGGAGGGGGCATGAGGGTAGGAGCTCACCTCTGTTTATATATCATCGAGAGGCAAAGAAGCTGGCCAAGTATGCTAATTCTTGACAGGGGAGAGTGAAAAATAGCAGGAGAGGAATTAGGGTACTGGGTACAGTTTTGGATGTGTCCCAGATCACCTGAGACATCAGCAATAGTATATATGGGATGGTGCTGTTGATTAGTCTGTGCTTCTGTTGGGGTACTTGACAGTATCAACCCTTTATGCTAGAAGAGGCAACTTTTATTGAGGAAGTACTGTGTATGTGTTTAGGCTTGATAAGTTTTAAGTCTGCTGGGCTACTGTTTGCACACAGGGGAATTCAGGGAAAAACCTGAAAGGCATCATACGTTCTCTGTAAGCATGTAGTCTGCCTGCTAACCACCACCAAAAGGTAATCCTGTGGCTTCTGTACAGCTGCTTCTCTCTCCTCCCTTGACATCCCCTGTCTCTCAAGAGCCCAGCACAGGGAGAAACCACGCTTTCTTGCAGGACTTGAATGACAAGCCAAAGCTGATTCTCAAAGTATCTTATATCTGAGGTCATGTGGTTCTCTTTAAATTTCAATGACATTGGATCATGGGGTTATGCTCATCGTAAGAAGAAATGGTCTTTGTTGTTTTCTTGGAAAAATTAGCCAGGCTTTTAGAGAAATCAGGGTGCAACAGTCCTAATAATTAAGAATAGGGTGGGAGTGAAAGATGGAAAATAAATGCAAGTGGGTAAGTATATGTATGTAAACTACAGATTTGACTCTGTGTTATAGAAGTTGACTCTGACTCTCATGGTCCATGGGAATTCACCCAGGAAGCCAAACGGGTATTGTGCAAGTTGGCTGGCTAACAGAAGTATACTCTCCTATATTTGCCAAAGAGCAAGCAGTCCTCAGTATCCTCCCTTATCTACTCTACTGAATGTTAGTGGCTGTTGCACTAGCTCCTAGGCTGCAGCTAGTGGCTGTTGCTGATGAGCTCAGCTGTATCAGATACTGAGCTCCTGGCAGGATGTCCTGCCCCAAGTGCTGAGGTGAGTGCCAGGCTGCATGGTGGGTTCTCTAGCTGTATCTGTTCTTATAGATATAGCTCTGTGTATAGTAGTCTCTGAAACCTTAATACAGTTTACAGGATGAGTAGCATAGAACATCTCGCTGTGTTCTCAGCTGACTCATATTGGGCTACTGGAAGCTTGCAGGATCCTGTTGGTAATTGCTTCCCTCTGGTCAAAAGAAATAAATGTCGTCTTTTTTTTTTTTTTTTTTTATAATACAGGTCTTCTTGAGCTCTCCTTGGGAAAATTCAGAAATGTGCTACTTAATCAGACCAATCCAGTAGAAGCCGTAATCAGGAACATTGCAAGCAATGTGACTGTTGTTATTTTTCAAGTACATGCTCAGCAAAGCGATGTGGTGATATCCTTTGATAAGGTATGGTAAGAGTGTCACTTCTGATCTTAAGTGCTACTTTTCTTTCAGCAAAGGAGTTGGCTCTGGTACATGTAAGAATATAGAACTGAAGCGATATAAATAATATTAATATCTTACCTGCATGGTTCTTGGACAGTATTATTTTAGCTTCAGAAATACTTTCTTGTAATAGTTGCTATTTTAGAGTACTGAATGCTAAAGGAATTTTGGAGCTGGCTTGAAAATGTTTCAGGGCTCTGTTCTTGGTGGAAGGGGTGCTTTTGACAAGCTGATGGATAGCGGTCACAGGTCAAATTAAAAACAGATCCATAAGTATTTGCCAGATACCTTATACGCTATACATGATCACTTTGGGATGTTTAGTTGTCTGCTGCTTACGTGACTTGAATCTAGCCACTACAGGTATAGAATCATAGAATGCTTTGGGTTGGAAGGGACCTTAAAGATCATCTATTTCCACCCTACCTGCTGTGGTCAGGGACATCTTCTGCTGGACCAGGTTGCTCAAAGCCCCATCCAACGTGGTCTTAATGGTGTATTGTTAACACAGCTCCTTGTCCTGAATCTAATTCTCCTTTGGCACATGGAAGACTTCCTCCCTAGTACTCCAGTGAAAGCTGCTACTTCTAGCCAACAATATAAGCATTTGTACTGCCATAAACGGAACTTAGTTTGTCCCATCATTACTGGGATGCAATCTAAAACACTGGTTTTAAATTTTTTTTATGGTGCTATGAGGCTCTAAGTGGTATTTGAGCAGAACGTAGACTAAGCTGAAGGTAGTAGATGGAGATCTGACAGCTGCCATCCTGTTTCTCTCCCCATCAGTATTTTCCAAATGAGTATATACTGAGTGCCAAGAAGTATCCTGGGAACCTTAGGAGATGAATAACCTGTAACACAAGTCACCCAGCTCAGTCATCTTTGTACTGGTAAAACAGCCAGGATTACAGGGCTAAGGCATTACTGTTACACCTACTCAGTCTTTGATTACCATGGGTAGAATCTTCTGCTGTTAGTTCAGACTCTCTTTGCATTCATGAGCCTTACCAGGCCAAGGACAGCAATATGTAAGTATGGCTATACTGCTTTAGGGCTGGCCTGCCTCTAGAAATATGAAACTGAGCCAGACCTTGAAGTCTGCCAGGTCCAAAGTGCTTCATTAGTGTTGCCTCGGATAACTGTGGAGTTGGACAAAAGCACATTTACCATGCTGAAGAATAGATTTGACTGCAGGTCAATTTGTTGTTCCAGCTGTGAGTGTGGTACTGCCATTGCTGCCTGATCTTTCCTCAAGACCCCTGGTTCTGAAAGGGACAGTGATGGTGGGAGTTGGGTTGGTAGCTAACCTGGCCCCAAGCTCTTGTCTGGCATGGCTAGTGTTAAGCCAGCTGTCATAGTCATCTCCATTCTGGTGCAGATAGTGAGGTGCTTCTGCACTTGGGTTCCCAGAATGCTCTTTAGTGCTGCCTCTTGACTTTTTGTGAGGGATATTTCAATCCTTTCACATCTTTACTAGTCAATCCATTGCGGTGCAGTAGTAGACTTCAACTATCTAGATTTCTTTGCAACTTGTTTGTGATTATTAATTCTGTCAGTCTCAAACTTATCACTTGGGTTTTTGAGCCTGAGCTAGGCAGTGTGTGGTGTCAGAGGCCACTCCCTTCTTCCAGCTCCTTTTTTCCATCTTCCTTTTTTTACTAGCTAGCTAATGGTGGAATGCCTCATCTGTGGTAACTGGCACGGAAATTTATGCCCTACAGGTTTGAATGTGACTCCTGTGGAATACACTGAGCTATGGTAGAAATCTGCTCAAGAACTTCTTGTTTATGTAATTTGTTTCTGCCCAGAATCCATCCGTGAACAGCTCAGGAACCGGAGTAGACAAAGGACTGGTTTCCGTCCTTCGGCCCCAACAGACCGTATGTACGTGGTACCTTCGTTCACTGGTTGCCAGCCAGGTGCTCAGCACAGCTATCTCTATCCCCTATATGGAGAAAGGTATGTTCTTATTGTTAAGGGATACCAGCTCTTCTTATTACAAGTTAACTATGAAATGTTGACCTCTCATAGGTGATATTCTTACATGCTGCAAACATGGAGATGCTAGAAATTCTTTTGGAATGGGCTGAAAAAGTTTAGTATCACTGCTGAACTGCAAGTTGTGCATAGATTGTACTGTATGGTCTTGTCATGGCTTCAGCCTTAAGAGTAGAAAACTGCTGTGTATATGTGTCAGGACCTATCTTAGACTGCAGTGAAACCACTTGTGTTGTCTGCAAGAATAGAACCTGACAATTTTATGTGCTCATCAAGCAGACTACGCCTGTACGTATGTACATGCATTGCTAAGATCTTAAAACTTTTTTTTTCTGCTGCATAACAGGCAAGTAAAAACTAATACAGTTATTTTCAATTTGTTCTAGATCCTATTCCTGGAGGCTGCAATCTAGAATTTGACTTGGAAGTGGATCCAAATATTTACCTAGACTATACATTGGTTGATATACACATCAAGTTTGCCCCTGCAAACTTGGGATATACCAGGTGTGTGGAAAAACTTCAGTGCACTTAGCAAGATCTTTGGCCAGGATCAAAAACCAAGAATCTGCTGAAAAGGCTGGCCATCCAGCTGCTGGCAGAAATTGTTTGCTGCAACAAACTGGGAAGAAAATGGGGGAAAGGAGGAGGGGAGATGTAATATGAGAGAGAGATAAAAGTTGAGTTGCATCTTGTGGGAGAGGTTATGCAACTTCAGAGGTGCAAGCAGTCAGCAAATACTGGATCTTCCCATTCCCCGTAATGACTTAATCTATTGGAGGAGCAATTGTGTATTATAGCCGGTGTTGTTCCTTTACCAGTACTGAAGGATAATAATGACCTAGAGTTTTGTTTAATATTGAGGTTTCGAATGAAGGCATTATCTCCTGGATGGTGCTTGGTGTCACAGGTGATAGGCAGGGAGTGGGGAGGGCTGTGTTCAGAGCTGTGTATATATCGCGTGCGTGGGAAAACAAACAGTGGTGCTGTGATCTTTGGGTGTTGTGACCTCTTGGAGTTGTGCTGGTTCCTCATCACAAGCCATAGGAAGCCTCTGTGAAGGTAAATGCGGGTACCGGCACAGACACTACCTGCCTCAGGGTGGTTCTGTATAATACTGCGGTAGCCTGCTCACAAACATTTACAGTCTAGTTTTTTAATTGGTTGCTGGTGTTAACTTCTAAAGAGTAGAAGCCAAATACTGCCAACTCAGATGGGCAACTTCTCAAAACTAATGAGAAGATCTGGGGGCTTGGTCTGGGCATGCAGCTGTTTTCTTTTTAATTGTAGAGGAGCAAACCCACCATCCTGCGATTCAGGGACTGGCCAGAACTCCAGATGGCGACTGCGCTATGAAGTCTACCAGTACTTCTTACCAGAGAATGATCTCTCTGAAATGGTACTCATGAGCCACATACGGAAGATGTCTGAGGTGCAAAGTATCAAAGCCAATGGCATTAAAGTAAGTCTGAAGCACTGATGTACCAGGCATGTGGTAGTGGCACTATCTTATGTTTTGTCTTCCCCTGTGCTTATCTTCCTTGAGTGGCAACATAAACAAGCTGCTGATGCTTCTAGCTTGTATCTGGGATTTCTGTCTAGGAAGTATACAGGGAGTGATGAGTAGAAAATGTCAATAGTTCTCTCTTGGGATAGAGGTGGCTAGTTAGCAGAGCCTGAAATGTGGCAGAATTGAGACTTCTTGCAATAAACTCTGATGTTAGGTAGGTGTTAGTGATTAGCCTGTGGGATGTTTGTCTTGCACCCTTTTCTCAATGAAACATGCTGTTATTGAAGTGTCTTCCTGCTTGCTGAATACTGCTTTAGCCACAGTGCTCCAGTGACGTTGAAGACAGCTTGCCTATAGCTGTGCTGCCACTGAATGCCTATAAATCCAGAAGCAAAGTCACTTCTGACAAAGAAGGATAGTCTCCTGCAATGCCTGATAGATGCTGGGGTCTGGCATGCTCAGATGCTGAGGACTGAGCAGGGAATGCAAGGAAGAGAGGAGGGGGGAGAATAGAGTGGAACTGGACTAGAAACAGGTACCATTTGTAGTGACATAGAGATCTGATATGTGAGAGCAAACACTTGCTGCATGTTTACCTACCCTCCAGCAGAATTTGGAAGGGACAAAAAGGGGAGTATCTTGGTGGCCGTGATCTTCCTGGCCTTGCTAGGGAGTGGAATGGCAGCCTTGCCTGCTTCAGAGGCCAGACCTGGATTAGACTGGCAGGAAACCTGAATTGTGTCTTCAGATGGGGAGGAGCAAAACATATGAGTGGGAGAATCTTCTCCCCTGTCAAAAAATAGAGTAATGCTGGAGGAAGTGGAGTTAGTCATGTGAGCCTTGAATATTGCAATGGGTGATACTGAGAGGGCTCTTGCCTCAAGTTCTTGCTGATCACCTTTCTTGAGCTGCTGAGTATTCTCAGCTGTATGGACACGTCAACGTGCCAACAGTAACAGTGACAAGCAGTTCTTTGCAATTAAAAATATTCTTTACTCTTCCAGATGCTTACGTTGACAACTGATGACAAGACCAATGTCTACTTTTCCTCGCTTCCTGGACAAGGTGTGATCTATAATGTCATAGTATGGGATCCTCTGTGGAATACTTCTGCTGCATACATACCTGTGCATACATATGCCTGCAGCTTTGCTGATCTAGTGGATAACTGCTCTTCCCTCAGTAAGTTGGGACTTGTACATCTTTGCCAACTCATCTCAAGCTTGCTGTGCTCCAACATGCTGAATGGTGTGTTTGAGATTTATGTTTTTTAAAAAAATGTGTGAATGAACTCTTTGTTTTACACTGTGGATGTATGTTGTTACTTTATGATGAAATCTACTTCTCGATTGAGAGGAAATTCTAGAATGATGAGATAAGACTAAGAAGTACTATTAGCAATTGAAGGCTTAACTTAATGGAGGTTTAAGATGTGGCTTTCAAATATATAACTTTCAACTTCTTAGTGCCACTCTAGCTTTTTCCATTTGAACTGGATACATAATCTTCAATCACTTGTAGGACTGTAGATGGTGCATGTGAAACTAAATAAAATGTGAACTAGATTAGGGTCCAGCCTGATTCTTCTAGCTGTGCTGGTGCTAACAGGAATTGGTAACATACAAATATTTTAAAAGGAGATAGTCACCTAAAATAAGCATAAAGAGAATGTCAGCAACAGTAGAATTGTCTACAAAGTCATGCTACTTTGTACCAAGTTACATAATGATAGAATTTGAGCAGAAAGAGCAAAGCTACCACTCCTGTTATGACTGTGGAGGGGATAAGAATAACAGGTAGAATATAGTTCATAAAGTAAGATTTATTGTCATGATTATTTTCTTATCATATATTGTAACACAAGTAACTGTTGTCGAACTCAGTGTCATCTAATGACAACATGAGACAAATTATCTAGGCTAAACATCTCTTCTCTAATTCAGAGAACTAGGAAGATGTGGTTTACTTATTTAAATAGCTTAATTACCAGTAAGAATTTTGCCTAGGAGACAGAGGTGAGTGATACTGGGATGCTGATGGTTCTTTCTGTTGCGTGGCAAATATATTAAAGGGAGATTATGGTGAAGGCTGCAGTGATAAAAGCTACGGCTGCTGCCTGGGTCATTAATCCTGTAGCACTGGATTTTATAAATGGTTGGATACCCCATTTTTAAAGCTGAGTAGAGAATTTTCAGGTTAAGCTGTACTCGTGTTATAATCAACAAGTTACAGCTACTTAACTAATCGTTACAGAAACTTCAGCCTTCTGAATAAGGAGGAAGCTCTTGATTTTTTAATGAGTCTGGAACTACTTCAATAGTCTGGAGATAACTATCAAGATAACTATTAGTTCAAGCATTGTAGATCTGCTCACATGGTGTGTCTGAAGGAAGTGGCAGCTATTAAGTTATCAGTAGACTCAGTGACAGCAACCTGACCTTACCTTTGTCTCATTTTTGGGACAACTAGGTATAACGCTCTAGTAACCCTTTCTTTCTCCTTGTAGGTAAACTCTCTACCAAAGTATTCTTCACTGCTCTTGGTGTTCTTGGTCTTTTCACTTGCTTTTTTGGACACAGATTCTGGAAAACAGGTACTGAATATTTTGGGTGGTTTTCTCTCTTGTAAGCCTGGTTGGAATTTTGTAAATGTAATTTTCTGTAACTTAGAAGGGTGGTGTTATTACTAAGATTCATGTGACAGTGATTATGTGCCAACTAGGTCCAGTGCTTTGCTTGTACAGGTGCAGGGCAAGAAGTTCCTGGTATGCAAATAATAGAAACATAATACTAGGGTGCATGCTGGGCAATATAGAAATAAATATGTAATTTTTTGACCTTTAGAAGTGCTTGAGGACACCCTTTTGCAGAACAAAGTGTTGCCTGACTTTCCTTTTGTACTTCTCAGCCAGTGAGCTGGTATGTTCTTTCCTTGTTATAACATGAAGATGTCTGAAGATATGTTGAAGTGGGCTTGGTATGAAGTGATGTGACAGCATACTAAATCTTTTTTCCTTTGTCTCTAGACTTATTCTTCATGGGCTTCATATTCACAGCTTTCTTCTTCTTTGTATTCATTACAAGAGTAACTGGCCTTGGTTATGATGGTGAGTAGATGTGTCAGGATACTCAATCCTCTTCCAAAGTATTGTTGTTTGGAATCTCTTAAGTAAAATCTCAGTCGTGCTTGATGCTGGCCAGCCTCAGGAAGGATAGGAGGATGATACCTAGGTAGGTGAACTGAGCTCTGATAACCATAATAACTGAATATGCAGCAGAGTAACTGTTGCTTCCAACATCAAATAGTGATGCAGAATTAAATGCTGGAATTATAAAAGACACATTTGAGTATCTATTGAAGGAAGATACAGGGTTTTAGACAATCTGGAAATTTGCAATATACTTCCTTTGTACATTATTCATGAAGGGTGGACCTCAGTTTTGGATGCATGTTTCATCTGTAAGATGGAAGTGGAAGGTCTGCACCCTGCTTGTTAGACTAGCAAGAATTAGTTCTTTTTGTCTTTGTCCTACCTCATAGTTACTTTTTTTTTGATACATGTGCATTACCTTTGCAACCATAGCTATCCTGGGAACTCAAGGTACTGATGTACATAGTAGCAAGACTTTAATCCCAGCCCTGTGCCGCTCTTTCAGTAGCACCTCTGCAGTTGCAGACTGGAGTCTAAGTGAAATGCTTGAAGCAAATACTGATACTTTTGTTTGGCTTTTTCCAGAAAGCTTTTGCTAGGTAACAATCAAGCAGGTAAGTAAAGCTGCTGAATACATTATTGCAGTAACTGAAGTTGTATGACTGTTGTGATTTCCCCTTTTCTTTTTCAGTGCGTCTTGTTTTGACAGCAGTAGCTGGAATTATTGGAGGGCTTGTCCTGGTTGCAAGCTGGTGGAGATTTGGCTCTGTCCTACTCTGTATGTTTATTATTGGACTTGTGCTGGGATTTCTCTTTTCATCAACAGTCTTCTTTACTCCACTGGGTATGCACTGAAATATCTACTGCAAGGTGCTGGTTATTGTGATGTGTTCTTGCATATCTAAGCTGCATGCCACCGCAACAGTCTGTCAGAGCAGCTCTGCTCCAGGCACAAACTCAAAGTCTGTCCTGTATTCTATCCAGAACAAGACACAGTAAAAAAAAAAATCTATAGTCTAACTTGAAGGCCTCAGGCATAAAGGCATCATGGATTAAGAGCTATTCTTGCTGTTACCTTTCACCATCCTACAGTGCAAGGCTCTGGGAGCATTGCATTGTAAGAGTCACACTTGTATTTGCAGCTGAACTGACATCATCAGGGTCTTTAGAATGACTTTGAGAGAAACAATAGACAAATCGCTTAAAAGGAAGCAAGGCTGCTGAGCCGGAATCCCTCGCTGACTTCAGAGCATCAGCCACACTGCTTTCTCTATTGTAATTTTAAAGCTCAAACCTCTTGTACTTAAGATCCCTTGGTGGGAGTTTTCATTCTCTGGTCAGTGATTTGACTCAAGTCACAGTTCAAAGTAAAATGGGGACTCGGTGGTCAGCTTGTCTCCTCTGTTTAATTGACAGGCCTTAGAAAGCAGGGGGAGCAAAGTAGTATTTGAGTGACTTGGTTACTCTTCCTAAAGCCAGGAGAGTTTGGTACCTTGTGTTGTTGTGATGGCTGCACTTGCACCATACACTAGATCCAAACTTGCATAGATGCAGGTTTATTGATTATAAACCTATATAGGCAACTAAATGGCTTCTTATTGGGCAGAAGTACTCTGGTACTTTTCATTCTTACCAAGTCAGTAATGTATACCTCATCAAAAATCTTTGTTTCATGGACTAGATCTGCTGTCCTAACTTAGAGTACAGGACTGATATTCAACTGGGACAGACTTTTTCTGTTGTTTTGAGTAACTGTTACAGTGCATCTTAAACAATCAGCATTTGAGCTCAGAAGTTAAGTTTTTAAACACTGTACTCCAGATATTTCTGAATGCATAGAATTTTGGGGGGGAAAGATCTCCCCCAACCACTTTACAAAAAAGGAAATGTTTTGCTAACTAATAAATTACATGTGGATTATGGTGTCTTTCCAGGAGACTATAGGGTCTTCCGTGATGATGTGGTGTTCTGGGTGACCTTTTCTTCTGTAGCCTTGATGATTCCAGTGCTTTTTGTTGGCTGTCCAAGAATTGTAAGTATTCTGTACCATCACCTCAGAAGGAGGGAGGAAGGGGCATCAGACTCCTTAATGCAAAATGTAGTCCTGTGGGATATGTATAGAAAATTTAACACAGCTTCATGAAGCTTGGCACACGACCAGCTCTAGGAGTTCCTGTTCAGCCCTACTTGTGCAAATGGTCCATAAGAAAAGGAATGACTTTTTGCAGTGTTGCATGTAGCATCTGCTAACACTTGCGTTTAGTTGACTTCTGCTGTCTTAATAGGATGCCTGGATAACAGGTGTGTGTAGCTGATTTCTTGTAGAAGAATTGATACAAAATACTGCTTTAAGGAGGTGGGGAGTAAGGAGTGTTTATCAGTCTCTTAAAGCTGGGTGTTTTCTCCCCCTCTAGCTGAACATACTGGCCTCTGGAATAGTGGGCTCCTATGCAGTGATCCTAGCTATTGCTTGTTATGTCTACACAAGTCTTGCTTACATCACCTTAGACCTACTCAGGAGGGTCCTCAATGATTACTTCAGCAGAGCTTACACCAATGTGCCTTTTCAAACAAATGGTGAGTACTGCGCTTAAAATGTCTCTTTTCTTTTTTTAAAACAAACAAACAAACAAAAAAAAAAAAAAAAAACAAACCCAAAACAACAAACCAACCATTACTGCCTCTTTCGTTCCATTGTGAACAGTGGGTGAGGATAGGAAGGGATGAAAGGAGAACATGGTAAGTACAGTGTGGGTTTTAACACCCAGATGATAAATTCTAGTCTTCTAAAAGAAATACTGAGTGGACTCAGAAGTGGCAAACTTCCAGCAGGTGTTATGTGACAAAGGCCCTTGTGAAAGGTGCTTCTCAGGCTTGGACTGCCACCCTGCTGATGTGTCTGCAGAGCGGGCAGTCAAAACGCCTCCAATGGTGACTGAACAGACTCCTCTCCAACTCCATTTATGTTCTTGCCTTTGCATGGAATTACTCCAGGCATGTGAGGATGCAGACACAGTACTTCCTTTCTGTCGCTAAACTTGCTCAGTGTTTGTGCTTGGGAAAGGAGGGAATGTTTTGCTTTGATATAGGAATCTGTTCTTTTCCTTTTTCAGACTTCATTATCCTGTCAGTGTGGACAATGCTGGCCCTCAGCGGAGTAACTGTGCAGCTTCGCCGAGAAAGAAGTGAAGTGCCCTTCCCACCACACCCCTATCTCACCTGGAAGCGAGAAAGGGAGCGCAGAAGCACGAATGTCTTGGATCCTAGCCATCATATCCCTCCCCTAAGAGAGAGAATCCATAACAAGCTACTGCATATCAAAGAGTTTTTTCAGAAAGAACAGCCGGCTGGTGAGAGAACTCCCTTGCTTCTGTAACGTGCCAAATCACTGGTGGGAACAGAGAGGAAACGTCTAGGAATGGCAAGATGAGTGATCACCAGCAAACCAGCCAGTGCTGCAGGATTTACCGCTGCCAATTTGTCCTGCTTAAGAGGATCATATTTGCCCGACCTGGAAGAGGAGTTACCTCTCTGCTACACTACATGCTGTTTTGTGACTGACTCCTCCATGGCCCATTCAGCCTGCTGTAATGTGTATGTCTAGCTGCAGAACCTTGTACTAATGGTCAAGTGCAGGTATTTATCTTGCGGTGATCTAGTTTGATGTTTAGGTATGTGAAGTATAAAACTGCCCTTATAAAGCAACCTGTACATTGCTGGCTCTTCCCTCGCAGCATGGAAACTACTGCTGAAATATTGCCTGACTTGCTCCTGGAGGTGAGCAGTCTGTCAGATTGTGAGGGATGAGGGATAAGGACCATACACAGGAAGAGTTCTAGCAGGAACTGAAATATCACCTTCTAACATAGATACAAAATGCGTGGCAGCAGACACAGTTGTTTCCAAGAAGTATTATTGAACCTTGCAAGCTAGACTGAGTGACTTGAATTTAAACTGCACTGAATTGACTGTTGTAAGCATGCACACTGTGGCTCAGGAAGTGGACTTGATCTGAGAAAGAAGATTTTTCTCCCTCGCTTTCAGATGGTTCTGTAGCAAGCTGGTCATCTGGTCTCTGTGCAGAGATGACTGCTAAGAGAACACAAGAGGTTTGCCTCCTTGTTTGCTTTCTGAACAGCCTGTGTCTTATTTCTCTTCTGGTATAATCTCTTTTTTGATGGTGCTGTCACAAAAGAAAAAAACTAAATAAGCTCTGTAGCCAACAGCAGTTTTTTTCCTGGAATTGGTTGAAACACTATTTTTATTTTTAATCAATGTATATTTTAATTTTGCCTTTAAAGGGTGAAAACAGCATCCAGCTAGCAAAATACAGGGCAGGATCCTTGCTGATTGAATGTGTTCCTTATCAGTTTGAATTGCATTTGCCCAAAGCAGAATGCAGTATAAATACAGATAAGGGACTACTCCTGTGTTCAGTGGAAGATTGCAATCTCGTGTGGTGGCTTTATTCGCTTCCTTAAAAATGAAACAAACAGCCATTTCCAAAATGCAGACTAGAGCATTATGGTTTCAGCTCACATAAATGCACAAGCAGTCCTGAGGCTGTCCTTGGTTTTACCTGCCCTTGCCCCCCATACCCAATCTTGGTCTTCACATTCAGTGTTTACGTGGTGATCTGTCATGCATTAAATGTCGGCTGAAGCCTTGCATCCTGTATCTTGATACAGGCTGTGGTGGCTCTTCCCGCTGCTTCTCACCATCTTTGTACCTTTAGTGTGGGCAGCAAAGTGCATAGTCCTTCCTGTCTGAAGGTAAGTGGCTGTTCTGCTACCTGCATGGAACCACCATAAGTGAATGCCCTACGGGTGGAAACTTAAGTTCTTGGCCACCACTTAAAATTCTTGGCAATAAGTATGTAAGAAAGAACTCTTTGTAAGGAAACTGGTGAAAGAACTTTATCTGGGAACCTAGTTGAAGGTTAAAACATCCTGGCAATAGAAAAGAATGAATGACTTCAAAATATTCTACTCACTGGCCATTTTTCTTTAAGGAGTGAAATCTTAATGACCTAGTATCTGCGGTGACTGAGCTCATCTGACATTGAGAGACAAATCCCATGATTGCTTGGAGCTGGAACATCAGCCTCAAACAGCAGAGCAAGGCTGAAATCCTGCAATTTGGGTCTTGCCTCAGGGTGCTGTTGTGTGGCATGTGGGGGTAAATGCAGAGCTCCAGCAGGCTGCTACTCGCTGACTGCCCTTACTGCTCTGATACTGAGCATGTCTTTGCTGTATTTGATGGCAAGTAGCAAACACTTATTTGGTATACAAATGCTCTTAAACATGTTTACTTTTTTTTTTATAACTGCTGTGATTAACATTGTGGGAAAAACAAGTTTAACTCTAATTTTCTATATCTTTTATAATAAAGATGTCTTTTGAAATAATATTGGAACTAAAGGGGTCTCTTTGAATTCAATGATGCTTTTACAACTTAGCTTCTACCTTTGGTGTTGTAGGGATAGTTTGTTTTGAAAAATTTGTTAGCCTCTCAGGGGATGAGGTGGGAGTTTTGCTGACCTGTTGTAAGGATTTACTGTAGTTGCAGTGACACCCAGAGGCTGAGTGTGGTTATGTTCTGCACGAAGCTAGTGAGGAAGTTCATAGTCCAAAGAGGCTTTTTTTTTTTTTTTAATATAGCTTCATCAGATGAGGTTCTAGAGAACAAAGGAATGCTTGTCATGCACTTCTTGACAGGAAACTAGGCTGCAAGATCATGTAGGAAGTCTTATGGTAGAACTGGGCTTTGAAGTCTTTTTCCAAGATCCTGACTTGGAGATTTTGTCTTTATTAAAACTGCTAAGAGATGGTATGGTATGGTTTCAGTACACTTCTTTAACTGGGTTTTCTGCAGTTTTTGCTGCACTGTAATTCTGCAATGATCACATTGTGGTATTTGTCTTAGCTGCTTGTGGAGCTTTCCTAGGTCTGCATGTGTTCCAGTCCTGCCTCAAATCCACCAGAGAAACTCTCTGCCTCCTCCCTTACTCTCACACCCACACTATTTTCTCCCAGCAGTTAAACAAGGTGTTGCACAAGTGGATTCAAGGACACTGATCATTTCAAAGAAACAGATCTTCCTTTGTTCTTGTCTCCTTCCTCACTTTAAAAACACAAAGCACAGCCTCACTGCTGCTTCCTGGAATGCTACATGTGGAAGGCAGCTTGCCTACCTGCTTCCCCAAATGGTCAGAAAGCATGACTGAAAATTGAAAAAAATCATGCTTTCCACAGGTAAACTTTGAAGGAGAGGAAGACAAATTTTCCCCTCCTAAGCTCTGCGTTTTTGTTTGGGAGCAGGTTATGGGAAATTAGAAGGGGCCCACAAAGTAAATGTGCCTTTGTCATCTCTGCGGTTGCTTATCCTATGCAAGTGGCTTTCCTTACTGGGAGGGTGTGGTGTAGATCTTCCAATTGAATAGTCCATGCTGCTAGTGCTTGGAAAGAAAAGATATTAGTCCTTGTTCTTGGATCTTCTCAACTGGTTGGTAGAAATGTTGCGTACATCAGGTTATGAAGCACTTGAACCCATTTTGGGGGACCAGCTGCTGGGTATTATGTAAAACCCATGATAGAGGCTTCTGAGAAAATATTGTCTTTGCTTAACACCACTGCCATGTGTGGCTGCAAGCCTGGCTTGGGGAAATCTGAGTGGAATGCAAACTTCATGGAGTGCCAGTCTAAAACAAAAACTCAGTTCTGTGAAATACATTGACTGGCTGGTATCTTTCTGGTATTGCTGTCAGAGAGGTTTTAACGTGACCTGGCTTGTTTGGTGGCTTGCTTTCAAGCTGTTTTGTTTTCCTGTGTCTGAAGCATTTAGGCATTGCCAAAGCTGTATGAAACTGTCCCGAGCAACTGGATACCAAACAGAGGGTAAAGCAATGCTTCGTTTAAAATTGCTTGAGGATCAAAATCCTGTTATTACATGGCACAGACATCAGTAACTCTTCGGGAGGTTGTTTTCATTATTAATTAGAGGCTACAGATTGAACTTGGCTAACAGGTAGGTTGTATCAGCAGCTTTACCACTGCTCTTAGCAGTCTCCTGGTCGTGAAGCTCTGCCAACCGCAGTGACCTCTGGTGGCATTGGGTCTGGGTAGGAGAGAAAGTGCTTTACAAACTGCCCGTTGGAGTGCTGTGTGGTGCAGCAGGCAGAGCGGGGCCCTTTGTCTCTGCTCGGGTCTCTCCCATGTCCCAGGTGAGATCTGTTCTTCACTGCTGCTCTCAGGCTGAGCAGGGTTCTGCTGCTCTTGGGTGAGCTTGTCAGCTCTGCAGCTCCTGGTGAGCTCTGCTCACAAAGAAAATGCTCTCTACTTCTCAGATCTCCTTAAGTAGGCCCTAATGTTTTGGGTGGTTTGGTGGATTTTGGTTTTTTTTTTTTTTTTAACTTTAATTTTGAGTGGACTATGTTAGGACACTTCTGCTCCTGACCCTGACGTGTGAGGTGTGTATTTTTTGGCTTGTAATATCTAGGCAGCAGACTGGGTTAAGACCTCTAAAATCATCCCTTCAGCATCACAGATCTCGCAGCTGTTGCTCATCCATGACACCTTCCTTCCTGTTTGCCTTACTCAGCCTTTGCATTTCTTTGCAATATCAAAAGAATTAAGGGACACTTAAAAGATTTCTTTGGTCCTCTCTGTATCTGTCTTTTACTCCAACCTGGAGCATGTGCAAAACCAGCCTTCCCAAAGCCTGTCACCCCAGTGAGGCCCTGCAGCTTTCATTCTGTCCTTGCCTAGCCCTGTCCTTTATCTGCAAATGCTGCCGAAAAACAGGAAGCCCCTCCTGAGAAATCAATACGCCACATCTTAACGTGCACATTTCAGTAAGCTTTTGAGCTTTTCACCTCTTCCTCAAGAACTGGCAGCAGTGTGCTGTGTGTTTGTGTGCGATCTTCGCAGCGGTACTTGTGGTGGGCTTCATTGTAACTTTGGTTTCTGGTTGATTTATTCAGTGAATAGTCAGCAATAGCAAGTGATGAGCTTCTGGTAGGTAAATGCCCTCAGAGGTAAGTATTGTAAGCATTAGGCTAACGTGTTCTAACTCAGTGGCTGAGATGCATTGATACATCCCTGCCTATTTATTTGAATGTTGTCAATACTTGTCTGGTTAGGCTGTCCCTTCCCACACCTTTGATTAGTAGGCTTTGGTGTTTCAGTTTTCTTTAGAAACAATAATTCCAATAACAGTTTTGTTCAAGCAGATGCTTGTTGTTTAGAATTTTTTTTTCAGTTGATATCAGACCTTGCCTGCTAGCATGTAGCTATAGGCAGACAGCTGTCTCCTGTCTGAGCGTGCAAGGCTTTATGCTTTCATCCATGCTGGAGGAAGACAACCTCAAAACGGAGCAATAAATTAGCTCATCTTGGAGGTGAGAGGGAGTGGCAGAAAAAAAATAGTTGTGTACAACTTACCTACCTGCTTCAGAACTGGGTTTTCACAAGTTTGCCTTATCAGAAAAAGCACCTGTTGCAACTTCTCCACATTATTGTTAGTGCCTTCTGGTGTAGTAACAGATTATCTAATGTGTTCAAAATGAGCTGGATTCACTTTTTTTTTTATCCTGAATTCTCTGAGGAAAAAAAAAAAAAGGCATATGCAGGAAGCAAAGTAAGCGCAGATAGAGTATATCGTAGGAGGCAGCTGCTATTTGCCTAGCCGGTAATTTAATGAGTTGCATATGATGATTCATTTTAAAAGTTGTTTACTATGTTCCCAAGTGTACTATTGGAAAACTGAAGCCACTGATCACCCTGCATCCATTTGTGTTGTATTGTTTGAGCTTCCAACAACTGAGTGTTCAAAATTACATCTAGTGCTTTTCACGGCTGAAACAACCATCCTCAGATGTATTTAAGGTATTTTTAATGGTGAGAACATTGTAGGGAAATTATTCATTCTGCCATTCTTTAAAAAAAAATGGAAAACTTCACCTTAGGGCAAGGAACTGCAGTAGGGGTTCTGCTTGTTTCCCTTGTGCCACTGTTCTCTAGCTTGTGTCTGGGGAGAGGGTGTTGCCAGCGTGTACTTTTTCCAAGACTGGAATTATGAAATGTTTCCCTCCATGTTGTGCAGTTGCTCAAGGTTTTCTTCTAGCTGTCAGGTGAGTTTCTTTTCTGAACTTGGGAAATAAATGTTCTCAGGTAAGAAGGTGTGGCCACACCGGCCCCTGCCACGCACGGCGCGCTTCTGTACCCGAACCCACCTGGGGAAAGGAGGTGGTCGCAGGCAGTGGGAACCTCACGACCTTTCCTCATGCAGTCACTGAAATAGAATCTGTTTTATTTTTGCAGCGCACTTCAGTACGTGGAAGCTAAACAATTTTGTTTAAATCGGTCAGCTCTGCTGTCATTAGTATGAAATTCAACTGTGTTGCAAAGAAAAGAAGGGATGGGCAGAAGGTGAGGCTGGATGTGACCTCCACCTCTACCAGGTATGTGCACGTGGTGTCAAACTGCTGTGCGCCGTGTGTGGTTCTGCCAGCACACCTCCGTGCTCTGGAAGGGTAAGCTCAGCAAGAGACATCTTCTGCTGACTTTACACAGGATCAGTTTTTCTGCTCTTTAAACGACAAGAACAGGCATTTGTTCCTGGCTGCTGGTCTGGGGATGTGTGCAGGAGGGTGTATAGAATTTTTTTTTCTTTTTTTTTTAGGACAAGGGTGAGATAGTTTTGTTTGTATACGTAGTTAAATGGAATCCCTGGGAGACAGTGCCTTCTGGGGGAGTCGTGCGGAGGGCCGGCAGCTGTCGGAGGCCCCTGCAGCTGAATGCCGCTCCCACTGCATCTTATTGCTTTTTCTCCTTTTGTTGGTCTCTGGTGGCAGCGTGTAGACTGATGCCGCTTTCCGAGTGTGTTACCAACAGCATGATGTTGAAAAGGCTGGTAAAGAAGTTGTCTAATGTTAAAATTTATTCCTGTATCCTATTTCTTCACTTCCAATTTAGGATTTCCCTTGCTCCCCTGTCTCATCTTCCCACTGTCACTCTATACAACCTGCCCTACTGGGACCAGCACTCAGTGTTCCGTCAGCCAGTTTAACCACCTGCCATTGTGAGGTACCCCAGACACTCAGGCATCAGTATCTCCAGCAAGAACAAGTGCATCTTTTACACTCAAATAGGAAATTCAGAAATTATTCTTTTTAAACAGTGAACAGTGCTTTTAAAGCTTAATGTTTACCAGCTAAAACGGAAAACTTCCTAAGCCAATGTAAATGTTATTTTGGGCGTCTACAAAGGTGTTTATGTCTTAGTAAATTTCATTCTGCATGAAAACAGTGCCCTTAGTGCTGTGTTTTAACATAATCCAATGTGTTTGCAAAAAAGCCAAAGCTCTCTAAAGCTTTTAGTTGTACAAAATAGACCAATTTAGTTTTAAGCTGCCCTTCAGTTTTACCTCAGTTGAATACCTGCTACATGCATTTATGACTTAGCTTGACATTTATTACCTGTCCTTAAACACAGAATTTATGATACTGAAAACAAGTTTCTCTTCTGAGAAATCATGGGGAAGTAGAGAAAACATTATACTGTCAGTTTATGAATGTAATCCCCTGACACTCTCATTTACACATCAGAGAAAGGAACCCAGAGCTTGAATGAAGTCAAAGTGACTTTTTTAATCTTCAAGAAAAACCCCCGACTGTCACATCCTATCTGTACCAAAATACATTTTGATCTCAAAGTCAAAGCCCCGTGGACTGCTTTGTTTATTCTTATTGCTCTTCCGTATTAGTGAACAGTTCCAGGGGTTCATTTGAATAACTGCCTGTATAGGAGTGACTGTTAGTTTTCCAAGAGCAAATGAAGACTTTACAGAGGATTTTTTTTCTTTTTCTATACAGCAACATGAAAAAAAAAAGCACTGGAAATGGGCCCACCTTCCTTAAAGTATAAAAATGAGTAAATGGCAAAACGATATCATCTTTTCTTACATGTTACTAACAAGGCTCACTTCAGATCCAGGACCTTGCTTTAATCATGAAGACATCCATATTTTCAGTTGACTTTATTGATAAAATAAGTTTACTGTACAGTACACAACTCTAGCGATAAATTCTTTTCAAGCCATCTGCATTACAAAAATAACAGGTATGCAATGAAAAATAGTCACTCCTCACACTGTGAAGGTTCTTTAAAATCCTAAAGTGATCAGGTCAGGGGAACGACAGGGAAGACGTATCAAACGTGAAGACTAGGAATAGATAAATTAAGTCACATTTTTTTAATTTACAAAAATAAACACTAATCAAGCATTATTTCATAATAGAGCAACCTTAAACCACTGCCACAGACTAACAGCTCTCCTCTGCTATCCAGCTCCGGAGGTTGTACTTGAAAGACAACCTGGAAAGTCAGCCATGAAACTGCATTCAGCATTAAATGGATATAACTGCCTCCGATACCAGTCAATGGCTGAAAAGACACTTCTAAAAAAAATAACTTAACCCAAAACTTCTTGTAAGTTTGCAACAACAAAACACTCCATTCAAAAAAGATGTTGCTTCTGATAAGTCACCAGCTTGCAAGCTACAGTAGAAATACAAATCTAAATTATAGAAGCATTGGCAAGGTTTTACAAATAATAATAGCAGATGTATTTTGTGATTGAGCTAAAATGTTCCCCAAAAAATTCCCCCCATGTGTTTAGCAGGTTTGGAAATGGTTAAAACTTTTCCCATGCATGTGAATGTCCTCAGTATATTCTTAAGCCTAGAAACAAGCCAAGATGCTCTGGAAAGAGAAGTTGCAATTTCTCCATTTATAAAAAATGCTGTGAAAATTTGGAGAGCTTGATTCATGTCTTTCAACTGCATTTCCTAGCATGTGCAGTAGTTAACTGAAAAGTAGCATTTATTGTCTCTGCTTGAACACTCCTTTCCTAACACTTTTTTTCTCTTAAAAGCACTATGGGAAGGTGGGCAGCAACAAAAAAAAATATTGAGTTCCCTCTAAATTAGCTCAGTGGGCACTGAAAGGTTACCCGTAGACCTGTGGCACATTCAGCTTGAGCCCAGGAAAGCTCTACTGAGTCAAAGGAAGTTGTATTTAAGCTGACACACTTACAAGGGTTTGATGCTTAATTCTTTTTGCATTGTTGTAACTGAAAATCAAATTTAAGTAATAGTTGATTTCAGCGCAGGAGTTCAACTCACTTTGCTAGGGGAGTTATTAAACAGCCCTAATATTCAACTGTGGGTGGCATTTGTAGATCTAGTTTTCTGTGGCTGAAACCTTTTGCTCTGCTGCTTGAGTATGCTGTCCAAGTAAAGATTACATTGATGTGGTGGACAAAAGGTGATGACACACATCAATAGTAGGAATGTTCTTGCTGCCTTGACCAAGAAGTGATAGTCTGACAAACAAAAGCTGAATATGAATTATTTTGGCACCTCTTTTCTACCAGCCTGACTTGTGTAGCACTCCTATCGGCTCTGCGTATGATATAAGCTGTACTTTTTGATCTAGGAAAACTCAATTCCTTTTCACTTCTGCAAGTGTTTCAGGATTAGAAGTGAGCAATCTATTTGTCAGTATAGCACATTGAAACCTTTCCTAGTGCAAACATAATGCATACCTGAAAGTTACCTAAAAACCTTCTTGATGACTTAAGAAAAAAATTAGGAGTATTGAGTGCAGGCTGCCAGCTTTGCCATAGAGCTGCTTCCTCCTTCCCCCAGCTGCCTTGCTGCTGACAACATTCAGGTGCTTTCAAATCGCTGTTTCCCAGTGAGGCAGTTGGGGCAGGGACATGGAGAAGAGATAGATGGGACTAATGTGACTTCTTGCCTACAGAGAACTGAGCCTGGCTTTCTCTCGTGAAACTGAAAAGTAAGGCAGAATTATACAATGCTACCCATGTTCCTGGAAGCAATAAAGTGGGAGCAGCTCTTTTCATGTTTTGAAAATACAATTAAGTGTACATATTTTAAAGAATCTTGTTCAATTTAAAAAAAAATATTGAACAACTGCAAAAAACATTGCTTATGTTTAAACAGTTGGCCTAATATTTGAACAAGATACCCTGTTGTGGCTAAATAACAGAAATGTTTAAGTTTTCTGCTGCCTACGTCCTCTTTCCATTAAACAGGTTCGTTGCAAAATAAGAATTTATTAAAAACCTACTAAAAGGAAAAAATGTAATGTGGCTCATGCACAAAGCATATTCCTAAATTACAACTTTTTAGCCAGAGATCAGACTTTAAATCTTACCTTTATTATATAACAGGTGCACTGAAACTTTGTATGAGTAATAATTTATATAAATTATGTGAAGCCCTTTATCTGTAAAATGACTTAATATAAAAATAATTCCCAGTTCAGTAAGCGCATTAATCCATCTCCTACTGAAGTTAGATCTATGGCAACTAACCTGTCACTAAGATTTTTTGTAGAATACCAATTTAGATTTTACGCAGTATAAAAGCCACTAAACTGGAGTTTAAGATGCATTAGCTTGCTGGTGCCCTATTCAGTAACAAGTGCTTGACAAGTGACCCCTGATAAATCCATTTGTAAAGTGTGCAATTGAAGCTTGTTGACTTCCATAGTCTTTAGCTTTTCCTCAGGCTCAAATCACTGCTTGTTACTAATCCTGACAGAGATGTGCTCTCTGATGCATCTTCTTTCTTGAGGTTCAGAAATGATTCTCTGGTTATTTGAAGAATTTCTCTCAAGCCTTTGTTTTCTTGCTATAACCGGAGAAAGAAAAAGAATTAATTTTATTATATATTCTATAGTAATTTAAATCATAATAATATTCAATATTCTATAAAGGAACTAAATTTAATTAGAACTCCAGAAAGAAGTCAAGATAACCACATTGATAACCTCCCCTCTCCTCTCCTCCAAACATATGTGTAAGGATTAAAATACTGATTTGCCATCAGGTTGTGTTATGTTATCTTCTAAAATTAAGAACAATACATTTCTAACCATCTTGCTTTCTTGAATGGGCAATAAGAATAAAAACAGAAAAGCTCAAAACACAAACGTGGATAAGAAAAGGATAATTAAGTTCAAATGTTGCATTTCAAAAAAAATCTTCTGTTCTTTCTACCTTGTCCTAATAAGACACTAGGATGGAAACAATAATACCCACACCTTTGACATTTACATTATTTTTATTTTAAATAATGTTTTTGTGCCTTTGGAGGACTTCAAAAAAGAGAAAGCTGAAGCCAGAATATAAATACAAACCACTGACTTCTGGTGATGCAGTATCGCCGAGGCCAGACTTCAGAGTAGGCTAGAGTAGGAAGAGTAGTTACAGCCCTCCACCGGGGAAGGGCAACAAAATAGCAGTGTGACTGATACAGTAACTCGTAAGAGATACAGCAACTCCATAGAAATCATTATGATAACGTTTACTCCTTTGCTATTTGTGCCATTGCTGTTTTGATTTCGTAGTTACCTCAAGCTGAATGATCCGTTCCTGCTCTTTACAGCCGTGCTTTTCATCAATTTCAATGGCTTTTCTCATTACTGCTGCCATTTCTGTAATTTGGTCCACATGCACTTGCAGCTCCTAAGATAAAAATTAAACAATGACAGCTTTAGTAACGCATTCTCTGTATTATTAAAAATGAGTGAGGCATTACATGTGCATTTTAAGTGCTGTGCCGCTTCATAAAAACGTGAACACAGACCTAACTTCCAGAAAACAAGCTCTCTGTAACTTTACAGCATGTACAGCCACTGTTGTCCTCTCCATTTAAATAAACCTGGTTTGCCACACACTGATCCCTTTTATTAGAATTTTATGTTAAAAAAATTGTGCTTAAATGACTGTCTTCCACACCTTCCGTGTCTTCCAAGTGGCTACAAGTTAGCCATATGCCTGCTCTGACAAGATCTTCTTGCGTTGCGGGAATTGATGTATGTCATTTTTGACATGCAGAAAGGCTAAACTCATCTAAGAACATGTGACATTCTTTCTGCTCATTTCAAACCCGATCCTAAGTCTGGTATAGCCAGTCCCAGCCCATGGGTAGGCATTTATCTCTTAAAACGACCTGGTGAGGTAGTCATCCTTGCTGTGTCATATATTAGGAAACTCAGATCTGTCCTTTGCTCTTTTCTAGATACTTCTGCTTGAGTCTACTTCCAATTCCAGCTTATCTGGGATCTGGATTTCAGAGGTTCTTGTCCTTGCTGAATTGTAAGAAAAACCTTTGTGTCCTGTCTGACTACTTTGTGTCTGTTTATTAATGCTAGTAGGGTACTTCCCTACTATAAATAACTACCCACCACATCACACTGAAAGATTCAAAAGAGGGGAAGAAAAAAAGTAGTAGTTTGGCTTGTTCTTGTCCTGTTCCACAACCAGGAGTGGGATGACAGGAGCCATTGCTACAGGTGCAACAGCCTTTGCACGGAAGCCAGATTTTTAGATATTCTTTACTGTTTGTGGAGAAGTGACCTCTTACATGGACCTTGTTGGTTCAGGTGATGGTTTACTTTCCTGCTGGCCAACCTACCAGCAGGAAATGCTTAAAGAGTCACTACTTCTTTTCTCCTGTGATCTAGATAAAGAGCCTATGCTTTTGCCATTTGCTGCTGTTTTGCTAAGCCAAATACATGAATGGTATTTCCAGAAGCTTTTATTTTTCATTGTCTTTTCTTCAACTTGTCTTTAATTCAATTATCATGCCAGCCTATCCATGTCTGACCTGATCTTTGGACAAAATTCACAACAGTCACTAATATCAGGAAAAGCAGAACTGAAATGCAACGGTACAGACTGAAGTTACATTCAACCTTTACATTTTGAGTTTGACTGGAGGTCCATATGTCTAGCAGATCATCAGCTTGCCTTTAAACTACCAGAAATGATTAAACTATCATAAAGAACTGCCTCACTTGGAATCATAAACTTTATGTCACCAAAACAAATATACTTTATTAAAATGAACATCAGCCCTTTCCATCCTTTCTTCTCTGCCATTGCAATTGCCAAAGCTATAGTTTAGCTGTTTACTCATGAAATGCCCACTCACAACGGCAGGGGGCTGGGCGTAGAACTTGCTGTAAATCTTGTTCTTCTCAGTTGCCACGGAAGGTGATTACATGAAACATTTTTTCAATGAAAAGCTAAATTTAGCTTGAAAGAAAGCTGTGATCAGTGGTAAAAGAATGAGTTGGGAAGGACATACCCTTGAGAAGGACTGGGAAGGAGTTAGTGGGTTTTAGATATATTGCTGTCTTCCCTACTTCCTATTTTGTCAGCTTATGTGGTCTCTTGATCAATGCGATTTAGGGCCTGTTCCAAGGTCACTAACATTACATCAGATGCTAACACAAAACTGTTAGGGTCTACTCTGGAAGGCTGATGTGTAAAACTTCAATGTTGTAACACCAAAGAATGCAATGGAAGTGTTTCATTAGGAAAATAGCCTCAAACATCAATGAACACTCTTTGTATCTGTCCTTTTTGTTTGCCATACATAGTTTGTTGTTGTTGTTGGTTTTTTTTTGTTTTTTTTTTTGTTTTTTTTTTTTCCTCTGAAGGGGGAAATAAAGAAGCCACATGTGTTTTTAGGCCTTCTTTCAGCTGAACAAATTCAAACAACACACTTAGATCGGGGTTGTTACTACCAACACACATTTTTGCATACAACAATGCTGAAAGAAATTGTTTTTCTATTTCAAGGAAGTGCTTGTTGATCTGCAGAAATCAATGATTTTGTAATAATCTTTTGTAAACAGGCACTAAAATGAATAGCTGACACTTGAGAAAACAGTGATTGATACAGTGAGATAAATTTCTTAGGTGTGATGGATTTTTTTTTTTTTAATTTTAGTTAACAAGAGTGAAATATTTAAAAACTGTTTCAAGATTGTTCAATCTTACTGAATGTAAAGGCTGATCAGAAGAATAATGAAATTCCAGAAATCTTAAGTAGCAGGTTAAGGGTGATAAATGCTCTTCATCAGGTATTCTTGTGGGATCAGATTTAACCAAAATGTTGAAGCCTCAGTCTCCTGTTTCAATAATATTGTTTGGTGTTCCTTTTTTTTTTTTTTTCCCCACCCTCCAAGCTTTTAATCCATAGAAGTGCTCCAAAAGGAAACTTCAAAGTCCATTTCAGGACAGATATAATTTTACTCTCTTGTCTTGGTACTCCTGAGGCAGTAAGATGTTATACTATAGGCAAAGGTAACTTCTTTTGAAAAGGATATATACCTGTCACTTTTTAGGAATTTGTTGAAGATATAGTTCTAATCCAGTAATTTTTTTCATACCAATTTAAGTAGTCTCATTGATTCCAATGGCACTAATTACATACATGTGATTTTGTAAGGAGATAAGAAAGCATCAACTTCTTAAACTTTGTTTTCCCAGTACGCAGACCCTAACTCTGCTTTGCAGATTTAGTTTGTTGAGGTCAAAGATTATTAAATGCTTAGAACGAATATTTGTCTACATAGTTACACTATTCTCTGATGATTAAGTTTAATTTAAAATGTAATATTTTGCTAGAAAGCTTCTGTTTAGATCTGTTAGTGACCTAGAATAATGAGTTTTGCTGAAAATACATTTTAAAAGCCTAAACTATATGCTAATGCTATAAAAGCATATATTAATCTTATATGAAGCTGCTGAATACTCATACGTCACTCATGGTAGTTCACAAAAATGTTCCTTAATGGCACTTTGCTTTTCTAGTTTTCAAAAGCCATAAGACGAAGCACACCTAATAGCAGCAACTTTCACCACCTTTCAAGCATCTCAGGCTGTCTTGGATTCTACTTAGCAATCTTGATCAGTACTGAAACAAGAACCAAGGGTTGAAGCAGGAAACAGAAGAAGTGCCTCTTCAGTTATTCAATATTCAAAAGGACCTTTAAAATATATTTTTTAGATTTACAATATTTAGGGGAAAAAATGTGAATATTGAATTTAAAAAGCTTACTCCTGCTCTCCCCAGTAAGCACAGGTTTACTAATTATTTGTTGGAGTCACAAGCATATGTTAAAACCGGTCTGAATATTACTGAGATCTGTGGGCATCTGGAAGTATAATAAGGCAGTTGCCTTAAAGTGAAACAAAAGTAAATTAAGTAGATACAGTAATGAAATGCTACTTGTTAAAAGCTTAAATAAAGGAGAAGCTAGTAAGGTTGACTTACTTGACTGATCAAGTTTCCTGTTCATGTTTCATGGACTGGATTATAAAAATTAGGACTTTTTAGTACAATGATATAAAAACTGAGACAAGGTAAGCTTTGAACTGATGCACTACAAACTAACTTAACTGTTAACTGAAAAAAAAGGCAAGAAAACAATGAAGTTATTACCTTGGAATGTTGCTCTTTTAACTTCATTATTATACTTGGATCATCCTTTTTGCTCGCCATAAGCAACCTAAACATCTGTTCTCTGTACTTGCTCATTATGAGTTCCAAAGCAGACTGATGTTCTTCAAGAGATGTGCGTAGTTCTACCAACACAATTTTAAATTCAGTTAAAGTTTAACAGAGAACTGAAACAAAATGCAAAAAGTATTTCAGCTTGAGAAAACCAAAATAAGCCTTTAACTGAGTGTCCCTTTTCCCTGCACCATAAAATCTATGTAGGTTCTGCAAATGTCTTCAGTGGTAACTGCCCTGGGAAAATTCTTGTTCAGTCAGAAACAGAAGGTCTTTTGTTAATATGACTTCGTATTCAGTCCCTTTAGCTGACATAAGCTATCTTGAGTGTAGCTGAGGGGCTTTAGCCACTGTAAGTAACACTGTACAAAAGCTAGAAAGAAGTTTACAGATGTTTTAATCTGCAGCTTGGCAAAATAAGAGTTAAAAACTGCTTGTGTTCAAAATATACTAAGTCAAAGGACAGATTACTCCTGAGATAAAACAAGATTTATGAATTGAGATCACTAACTCCTTTGCTGAATATAACTGTTAGAATACCTTGAATACCTTAGGTATTCCAGGAGGAACTGTACATTCCTCGTGTACAGAATTCCAGATGGAATTAAACTACTGCACTTATAACTTGTCCTGACTACTCCTAAATTAGTTATTTTAATCAGTGAGAAAACACATTTCCAAATAGATACCTATATTGCAGAATTAAGTTCTATTTATCTCACTTATGATGAACATTGGATAAGGACTGAAAAAGTAATTTTCCGCAACTCTCTCTTTTGTTAATCATAGTTCTATGGGTTGGACATTAGGACTCTATTATATTGCATTATGATCAGTTAAACTGACAACTTGAGATTAGAAATTCTTCTACAACAGTTTTTTGAGACTAGATCAATGGTAAACGTCTCACTGATTCCAGTGGTGCAGGCCGGAACTTGAAAAGGATAGAATATTCACGTTTTACCTTTATTCTCCTGTTGCAGTTCCCTAATCTGTCTGTTTTCTTGTTGGATACCCATCACTAATGTAGACCGAGGGCGATGTCTTGCTACTTCATTGAGCTCTTGAATTTCTTCTTGGTACTAGTTATTAAAAAAAAAAAAACCATAACCACAACATATTTCAGTAACTGAAGGCAAGCATTACTCAGCACGTCACAAAGGACCAGTTCTACTGTCAGTCAAAGTCTGTAACCAGCAAGATAATGCTTGTTTTTAAATGATAATATCAAACACACACACACTTCTGAAGGTGTTGCTAACATACTGCCCTTTAGAGACACTAAAGTATCACCTTTGTTTTTAAACAAGTTTCATGCCTCAGATGTGTGCAGTGGGCATTATCTAACCTTCAATTAATGCAGGTCAAAATCACCATCAGGTAATTTAAAACTGATATACATATGGTAAAGAAAAACCTTGAGGTATTAACCTCTAGGTATTTACTGTGGCTTCCCAATACCTTAAACCAGAAGGTTGTACGGGTACTAGTCACATGGACTGACTGAATGGATCCCAACTCTGAACAAATGGGTACATTTAATACTCTTGATTTAAGTTATGAACCTTCTGCAAGACTAGTTTTACAGGGATGAAGCACATGCAAGGTTTTATTATTTTACAGGCCCATTAACATGTCCTGTGCCCTATTAAAATGACAGGATGAACTCCATATGGAAAGTCAGTGTACACCTTTATGTTTTTCTGTAAATTCTCTAGTGAAAGTCACACTCAATCTAACAACTTGTCTTGAATAGCTTAACATCAGAATGGAAATGATCACAAAAAAAAACCCAAAAAAACCCCCAAGCTACTTTGAAACAAAAGGAGACAGTGAAAAAATAAAGTACTCCGAACAAAAGAAAGCATGTCAGGGCCTCTGTAGGATTGAAGGTGCATGTTGAAATTAATAAAACAAGTAGTATTTCACAGAAGAGCAAAACATAATTCACCACACAATGGTTTGTAAGATACCAACACCATTTCTACTGGTGTTCTTCAAATAAATGCTTGGTTTTGATATTTAAGTTAGAGTAACAGAAAACTTTTTCACAGGATCAAACTAAATATATAAACAACCTGGTTTTAGATCCTAGTCACACCTACAATTAAAATATTTAGCATGGTATTAAAGGATTATCCAAATAACATACTGATTCTACATTGTACAGTGGCACACAAATTATTTTAAATTATGTGTTTCCAAGTTGTTCTGTTAATGGAGTAAACAAAGTTGGAAAACAAACCTGTTTCATTGCTTCAACCCGCTTGTTAAGAGCTGTAGTCTGTTCAATAAGAGCTTCTGCTGCATTGTCATGTTCCCTTAGCCGTTCCACCAGAGCTTTCGCATCTGCTAAGGCTTTTTCAATTGTGCAACTCATTTCTAAAGATTAGAAATGTATTATTTTTACAATACCACCTGTTTGCTATGTAGAGAACAGCTATCTATGTGATATATACACGTATTTTTTTTTTTAAGTCTAAAACAGCTGAATATAACCTTTCTCTCTGTAACATCCAGTTATTTTGTTGACTTTTAGGAGTAATATATCTTAAAAACACCTTTCCTCTTCCTCCTTTTTAATTGCTGTTGAGACCATATATCAGAGCAATGATATGAAAGTAAACTTGGTATATTGATACTATCCCCACAAGACAAAGTGCAAAAGAAGGACTACTGAACGTATGGAAACTGAGTAGTGCATGTCCTTCTGTAAGTAGCAGAGAAAAAAAAATATTACATTAACTATTTCATTTTTCAATACTACCTTTTTTTTTTTTCATGTGCCCTCCTACTAGTCAGATATACTTCAGGATATTTGAGAAGTATAAATTCAGCACAAAAGAGAACGCCAAAGGACTACAGTGGGCTGAATATTTCGATTAATTAAATCAGCAGAGAAGGAACAGCTCAAACTGACAGAGTACAGAAAATTACTCAGGGAAAATTCAGAAAACTAAAGACTTATGTTTTCTTCATGTCTATAAATGAACAGCACGGCATGAAACTGTAAAAATTGCAACAGGATAGAGCAAGACAGAAACTTAGCTAAGAAAAAGAACTGACTGCATACTTAAAATACCAGCCTTCTAATTGCACAAGTTGCTAGCAGAAATTACCTATTGCCAAAATTTCTAAGCTTGCAAGACACTTCGATGTACTAGCATTTCCAAAATACTGGCCTTTACACTGAATTTTTTGTACTCATGTTTGAGAGATTAAGTTTCAAGACTGAGATTTTCAGCCTAAATTTTTGTTTTCTTTTAAGAAACCTTGCACTTTTCCTACTGAAATCCACTTAAACTCCTTGAACAGCTCATCAGCAATCAGTCAGCAACCATAGAGGTTTATTAGAGTTATGGGCCTTATTGATGTTAGGTTTAATATTTGTTTCAGGAAACTTTCTATGGTACTGAGAGAATCAACTAAATCTGTTTCTTAGCCAGGCAACTTGCTAAAGGAGAGATTTTTGTAAGCATAAAAATCAGTGAGCCTCTCCTGAGCTACAGGAAAAAAAATTGCTCCAAGTTGATTTTCTAACTTTCTTAGGCACCTTTGCAAATTATAGCCTAGGATCTTTCAGGCAAGCTTAAAGAAATCCTCGCGTTTTCCTCAACTGACCTTTTCCCACTGTTCCAGGTAAGTAGCAGAAGTAAGGATATTTCAAACAGCAGAAATTCCACCATTCCCCTCAAAAGACTTACAAATGTAGCAGGAATATCTGCCCTAATGCATTAAGGTGGGAGAAAACTAAGCCAGACAGCAACAGAGTTTGGAACATTCTCTGAGAAGTTCTCACACACCCAGAACGTCCTGCAAGGTCTAACCCCTCAAAAGCATTTTAATTTGGTAATTTCATTAGCTGCCCCCTGCGCTCTGAGGAGCACATGTAATACAAAAGCATTTAGTTTACTTTTTTTCTGTAGAAGGGTCTTTCAGGGGCCCTACCATCACAGAAAGGTTGAGACTTGTTTCCTGATGAAGGAGCTTCAGAAAGAGAACATTATAGAACACAGAACACAACTGTTTTAACTTGTGTTTTCTGTGACTCGTGTTATCGAAAGCATCGGTGTTTGGCACGTACATGTTTCCTACAGACATTGATAACGTTCATTCCTTCCTGTTTATCAATCAGAGTTTTCATTTTAACTTCCCTATAATGTATATATGCATTTGAGGTATCGAGTCAAGCTCTTCAGCAGACCAGTGTGTTATCACAGGTAGTTGATTTATTCACTCTGGTTTAGCAGTTTGAGCTCTTTTTAGTATTATATAAAAAGGAATCATACTGCACTGTTTCTAAGGATCTGCTTTTCTAGCTTCTCATTTCTCCTTCCAATTCAGATCTCAGATTCTTGCTGGACTACAAAAAGATCACAAGCAGAAGATGACCCGTGACTCTAACTTAATTTCTGTAACAGTTTAGCCTGATCAGATCCATATCTAAGGAGAATTTGAAGAGCAGCCTTTAACTCAGTTATTGGGTCATGAATTCTCTAGCCAGTATAAACTAAGCCTCTTAGGCTTCTCCATGAGCTTGGAATATATTCTGCAGTCAGACTACAATACGGTTAACACCTCATAATTTGTATGCATCAATATAAATTTTTAACACAGTACGTATTCACCCTCCCGTGCACTTTCTCATTTTGACCCAACCCAACCACACAAGATAAAAAGAAACTCATTTGTAGCAAAGCCACTGAAGTTCTTTCTCACAGCCAATGAGTTGGGGAAGACACGCGTGTGCCTTGTGTGGAATACAGCTGTGCAAATTCAGCAGTGACTCTCTACCCTCCCAATGCAGCAGCTTCAGCTGGCCAGAGGCCATCTCCTGTTTTCAGGCAGGATTTGTACCTCAAAAAGGAGAATAATTATTTTTATCATAGTAATTCAAGTATTGTCTAGGATTCCTTTGGGCAAGACACTGGCCCTAACCCTTGGAATTTAAAATTCTCTCTAGTTGCTCATCTGGCTGCCTTTGAAAAACAAAACTGTTGTCTTATTCTGCAATAGATCTAAACTGCTGAGTTAACTTGGACATTTAGATAAAAAACCCAACCAATTAATCAAATCTATTTGATTCAAAGCACTTCTTACTGCATATTAATTTTTTTATGAGCATGAGGACTGCAGTAGCTAAACTTCATGACTCCTGAACTCTACCCTACAAGGGATGCCCAGCTGCAAACGTATTTGTTAGCCTTCAATCTCAACAACAGGGTCAACAGGTAGCAAGAGCAACAACTCAAAATAGCCATACTGGTACCACATACTCATTTCCTGTCACTTCCTGCTAGTTACTAATTGCTTTCATTATCAAATTTGGCTGCTCCTTAAAAAAAAAAAAAAGCCACCACCACCTAAGAATAAAGATTTTTGCGTAACTACAGCCCTCCTCCAGTTTTCTGTCTCTTCTTTCTTTTACACGCTTACCGAAAACTGCCTATCCCCACGCCTTGGGTTTCCCCCTCCCCACAGTTGCCCGTTTCGCGGCGCGGCACCGCGCTGCCGTTCCCGCGGGCGCCGGCCCGGCTGCGAGCGGCCCCCGGCCGCCGCCCCCCGCGGCGAGCAGGCCCAGCCCGCAAACGGAGCCACCGCTGCTGCGGCCCCGCCGGAGCGGAGCGGAGCGGCCGCCGCCAGAACGGGTGCGCTGAGGCACACACCAGTGCGGGCTGTCGCGACACCGGCACCTGCCGCGACAGACACAGACACAGCCCCGCGGGCGCCAGCCGGTAGTGCTGAGGGGGGGGGGGGGGGACGGGACTCGTCTACCTCCTGCTCCCTCACACCTCCCCCCCCCCCCCGTGACGTCACGGCCCAGGGGCTCCCCGCGCGCCCCAACGCGAGTCCGCCGCGCTCCCAACCGCCCGGTGGCAGCGGTTCCTGCACCGCACCCGCTCCCACCCCCCCCCCCCCCCCAAAAAAAAAAACCCCGCGCCTTCCCCGCCTCGCGCCACTCACTCATGACCGGCGGCTCCGGCAGCGCCCGGCGCCGGGGGTGAAGCCCCGACCGGCCCGGCCCGTTTGTCAAATGGCGGCGGGCCGCACGGGGCAGTGGGGGAGAAGCGGAGAAGCGGCGGCGGGGGGGGGGGGGGAGGGGAGAGCGGGGGGGGGAGGGGCGTCGCTGCCAGTGGGCGGGACGGGGCGGCGCGAGGCGAGAGCGGCCGCGCTACCTGCCGGCGGCACCGGGCGAGCGCCCGCCGCTCTCGCGAGAAGTCACCTTGCCACCGCCCCCGCCCCCGCCCAGCTCTCGCGAGAGACGCCTCTCCGCTGGGCGGCCCTTTCATAGCGCCTCCCTATTGGCCACCTCCCATATAAAAACCCCGCCCCTCCCCGCCCCGCGGGGAGAGCGCGGCGTGGAGCGTCTCGCGAGATCGTGGTGCGCGGGGCTCCTCCTCTTCTTCCGCGGCGGGCGGTGTCTGGCGGCGGGGCGGGGCGGCCCGCGCCCGGGCGGCTGAGGGCCGAGCGGCGGGGCTGGGGCCGGGCATGGGGGGCGAGTGAGGCCGGGGCAGCCGCCGCCGCGGCCGGGGAGGTGTGAGGGGAGAGGCGCTCCCCCCGCCAGCGCTGGGGGAGCCGTTGGGCGTAAGTGGCCGCGCGGGGGTCTCGCGGCCTCAGGGGTGGGCGGAGCGGGGGGGGCTTCGGCCGCTTCTCCCACCCCCGCGGGCGCCGGGCGCGGAGGCCGGAGCTGGGCGCCGCCCTCGCCGCGGAGCCGGCGGCAGAGGAAGGAGCGGGCGGAGGGACATGGAGGTCGCCCGGTCGCAGGCGCCCGCGCCCGACCCAATCTAGGGCGGCCCGCGGGCTTCATCCCTCCTCCGAGCGAGCCCGCGGCCGGGCCCGGGCGCGGCGCGGAGCGGGCCCGGGACTTCTGCACCAGAGGAGGAGCCGGCCCAGGTACGAGACGCTTCGCTTCCCCCTGCCCCCCGCCCGCGGGTGGGCGAGGACCGACCTCGCCGCCGCCGAACCTCGCCGCTCGCCTGCGGCCGGCCTGTCTGCTCGGGAGGCGCCGGCGCGGCCTCCCCGGCCCCTCGGGCTCTCTGCCAGGCTAAAGATAGGATGCGGGCCCTCGGGCCGGCCCCCGGGGGGGGTGCAGGGTGCCCCGGCAGCTGCGGCCGCTGCTGAGGGCGGCTGCGAAATCTGTCCGCCACCCCTTCCCCGCCCCGGGCGGCCCGATTTGTGTAAATCCTCGTTGCTTTTGTTTTAACTCTTTTTAAAATGAGCTCGTATGTATTTTGGGGAGTTGTGTGTTCCGTAATTCAGCAGGATTTGCGTGGACAGAGTAGATTTTTGTACTAGAAGCGCTGTGGAAACATCTAGAAGCTTAATCGGTTTGAGGAGTGTTTGGCCTTACATTAGTAACTTATGGAGCACTAGTCTGAGATTAATTTCGGTATGTATTTTGGGTCTCCGAGTTGTGAAGTCCACCCGAACACAAGGATCTGATGTTATGGTCGCTTCGAAAGTTTTCCTGGCAGTGATGCAATAGGTGAGGGAAACTCAGTCTGTCGGTGTGAAAGAGGAAGACACACCACGCTTCAATGCAGAGTTCTTAGGCTTCGTCTTTGGGAAGAATACAAGGAGTACTTCTATGAATATTGCTGGATAAGAAACTTTTGTATTATAATTTCAGACTTAGTATGGCTGTCAGTGGGAGATCAAAGTATAGATGCAAATATTAATTTAAAAATAAAGATGTACCTAGCAAAGCAAAGGCTGAAAATTTACTTGAAAGTCTGATATTTATGCTACTTAAAGGTTTGCATAGCCTAATCCTAAATTATTTTTTCTCTGACGTTGCTTATTTTAGGAAATAAGTTTAAAATAGAAGCAGTTTCTGTCATTTTTTTTTCATAGAAGTTTCTATTAATTAGAAAAGTGGGGAGGGTAATACTGTGCATCATTGTTACTGCCTTTTCAACAGCATACTTCCATATTTTCTATATTTTTTTCCTTCTGAGAAAAAATAGTTTCTTCTGGTTAGAAATCTGGTATACTACATGTATAGTCCAGTAAGAGTTGTAGAGAATACTTGTGTCCATGTAAATAGATACTTAAAATGGGAATTTTTGTAGGTTGTTTAAAAGCTTAACAGTTTTGAAGGAGCTAATATATGCAATATGTAATCTGAATAATGTGAGAGGTAACATCTTTAAAACTTGCATATCCTAGGAAGATAAATTTATGCTATATAAATTGCACAGTAATCTTGTGATGTGTTTTTTTCCCATGTGTAATTTCTTTCTGATTTTAATGTCTTGTTTCTTTTAGGAAGAAAATGAAAATATTTTCTGAGTCTCATAAAACTGTTTTTGTTGTGGATCACTGCCCATATATGGCAGAATCCTGCAGACAACACGTTGAATTCGATATGTTAGTAAAGAATAGGACCCAAGGAATTATACCTCTTGCACCCATATCAAAATCGCTATGGACCTGTTCAGTGGAATCCTCCATGGAGTACTGTAGAATAATGTATGATATTTTCCCTTTCAAGAAACTGGTAAGTTCTTCTAGCCGTACTGCATATGATACTTGATAGCATAAGGGATGTTTCCCATTTTAATGAAGTTTTTTAATATCATTAGCTGCTGGCTAGATTAAAAGGTCAGATACAATTTATTATATAAAAATTTCTTTGTGCTATTGATATACTTTATAGCTATTTTAAATTGGTTTGAGTAGTATATGAATCCCATTACGTACTTATTTTGGGGACCTTTAACTCAGTGCAAAACATGGAGAGGTGCTTTAAGGTAATTCAGAGATCAATTATTGTCTTCTGCTGAGTTCCAAGTTTATAAAACTTGAGTGAGGTATTGCTTCAAATAGAATTTTGTTTCTAAGTGCGCTTGGTAGTGCCTCATAAGGTTCTTGGTCTCAACTTTTATGGAATTCTGGGCTTTAGGAAAAGGTAGGGCTGCCCTTAACCTACTAGTTTGAAAAAGTGAAAGAGCTTCCTGGCACACAGCTCTTTGTTTAGAAAAATAAATACCTGGTGGGTTCTGTAACATTGTATCATAAATTAAATAATTAATCCTTGTTTTATTAGGTCTTTCCTCATTATTGAGTAAGCCACTGTGCAATGTCCTAAAGGTTAGCTACCCTTAAAAAAAAAAAGCAGTTAAACAATCTTGTGACAGTGATACTGGTACAAACTAGTGATGGAATACTGGCTGTGTCAGAGCAGCTGAAGCAGAGGCTGGGCATTAACAAAAACCTCCGGTAGTTCAGTGATTTGATTTTTCAGGGATTTGATGCCTGTCAGCTGCACTGCCTTGATGGATTGCATGTCCTGGTTTCCAGACAACAGATGTTTAAATTAAACTCTAGTTTAGAGCATTTGATACACAGTTAAGTCCCATTATGGGATTACATCAAGTGTATACTTAATGGATTTGAATCAGTTGGTTGAAATTGAGCTTGTGTGGTATGGGAAACGGATTGAGATGGAAGGTGTGCTTCCTTTTGACTTTTTTGTCATCTTTAGGACATATTTTACTCAGTTTATTAAATCTTGTTAGATATTTACCCCTGTGATCTACTGTATCAGTCTTTGGAGAATGATTTGCAATATTGCAGTATTAGAATTCACTTTGTTATTGTAGGTATTTTACTGAAAATATTACCTAATTATTAAAATACTTCATAATATCATGCAATGCTAATCTGGTGTAGAGATTGATTTAGTGACTTAAAAATACGGTTTTAAGTTAAGCATAATGTTGCTGAAGGGGTAACTGAATATAGGAGGAGTGGGTGCTTTTTGTGGTTTTATTGTCTTATTTTTAGTTTGGCTTGTCACTGCATGTATCTCCAGAGTATCAGAAGAAAGAGGTGTAATTCATGTTTGGGTTTGAGGAAGTAGCCTTGTAATGGCTGTTACCTGTATGATTGGCTTTTACCTTACATGTGCTTTTCTGATCCTTCTAGGTGAATTTTATTGTGAGTGATTCTGGGGCTCATGTCTTGAATTCTTGGACTCAAGAAGATCAGAATTTGCAGGAGGTAATTGTTCTTTTGTTTTGTAAGTCTAGTTTAGTTGTGGAATAAATAGCAGGTTCTTGCTATGTTCAATATGAAATAATTTTGGTTAATTAAAATGTTGGTGGATCTGGTCTGAAGTTACTGCATAACAGAGTTTTTAGTAGCCTGTGAGGCTGGACTGTTCTATAGGCAGTTTTTACATAATTTAAAAAGAATCCAGGAGCTTTGAATATAGTTACATATTAAAATAAATGTTATGAAGAGAGTACCAATGTATTTCTTCTGTAATTTGGTGATACTTCTTGAATCTTAAATTGTTTTTTTTTTTTTTTGTTTTTTTTTTTTTTGTTTTTTTTTTTTTACATTTGCATGTTAGGCAAATAGACCATGTTAAAAAGAAATTGTGAATATTCTCCTTGATCTCATTTTGTTTCATTCTGAATGGGCTTATCCACTGAAAAACTTACTTTGGGGAGGAACCGAACTTCCAAGTTCTCAAAAAAATAAGAGCAGATGGCACCTGATAACATTAGAATTTCTTTGAGGTATTGGATATAACTTATTATAGCTAGTTATTTTTCTGTAATAAATGAGAATATTATATTTTTAAGGCTTAGTAACAAGAAGTGAATTGCAAAGGGTAATTTAGGGCCAAATGTTTTCCAGAAGGCTGGCAACATATAATGGTCTCTTAATTGTTCTGGTTTGGTTTTCTCCCAACAATATTAATTTTCATGTAAAATAAGTTAGAATGATGACTTTCATCTTAACTGATTATTTTAACAAATGGCTGGAAAGTAACTTTGAATAAATAATTTTTTTTCTTTTTAACTAGCTGATGGCAGCATTAGCAGCTGTTGGGCCACCTAATCCTCGGGCAGATCCGGAGTGCTGCAGCATACTTCATGGTCTGGTTGCAGCAGTTGAAGCACTCTGCAAAATAACTGAGTACCAGCATGAGGCTCGAACCATGCTCATGGAGAATGCAGAACGTGTTGGAAACAGAGGAAGAATAATCTGTATTACTAATGCGAAAAGGTATGTACGATAATGTGCTTCTACCATTTAAAGAAAAGCTATTTCCTATATTTTTAGAATTCTTTCTTTGATTGTCATGAATTACTGCCCTAAGTAGCTTTTTTGTGTTCTTCGATCATTTCTTGCTCTATTAAAGGTTTTATTTATGGAGGTCTGT